GCGAACATGGCTTATAGTTATAGCTATTCTACCTATAACCCCACTTATAAGTACCCATGAACCTCCAAGCAGGGCCCATCGACACACGTCCTAGACAATTCTGGCCACGTGCTCCAATCTGTCTCGGCTTGGCTCATGGGTGCTCGTACTGGAGTCAGAGTTCTCCTTAGGCTCATCTTGATGCCATGTTTGAAGAGGTTAGGTTGATGTGGGGCTGCCTGGCAGGATCTCCTTGCAAGCGTATGCACAAGCAGACAAGCAGAATGCACTGCCGATGGTTGCAGGGGACAAGTTCTCTCGAAGCACGGATCGTCTTCTCAAGGGCCTCTGCAGCGGACTCTGCTTTTATCGACAGATTCAGCAGCATTCGGGTCCACATCCGACCGATCCAGCTTTGACGATGCCGAAAAACAGCTCTCGCCAGCTTCCATGCAGAAGGCCATCGTACTCCCAAGATCACAGCACAAACCGTAAGCGGCATCATGACTCTGAACAGCTTTTGGAAACTTATCGCAGCCTGCCAGGTGCCCTGTAAAAGATGCACCACCTCCGTGTGGCCATTGCATTTCGCCGCATGTAAGGGCATGTCGGCGACTCTACCTCTATGCCTGTCAGCGCCGGCCTGCAGCAACACGTGTACTGTCTCCACGTGTCCCCTTGAAGCCGCTGCGTATAACGGCGTCTCTTTTCCGTTGCCTGTGTTGACGTCAGCACTTGAGTTCAGCAGGCAGCGTGCGGCCTCGGCATGACCTTTCAAAGAGGTGACATAAAGAGGTGTCTCTGTTTCAGTTCCAAAGTGCTCGTCGGCACCAGCCTCTAATAGAAGCTGTACAATCTGCGTGTGGCCTGCTGAGCAAGCCACGTACAAAGGTGTTCCTGCAAGGGTGGCCTCATGCTGGTCAGCACCAGCCTCCAACAGAAGTTGCACAACTTCCAGATGGCGCTGCCCAGATGCAACGGAGAGCGGTGTGCCGACTGGCTGCGACCGTCTTGGGGATGTACTGTGAAACTTGAACCTAGTTTCTTCAAAGTGCAGGTAGCTTTCGTCGGCTCCGGCTTCCAGCAACCGCCTCACAAGTTCAACGCGACCTTGCGAAGATGCATGGTAAAGGCATCGGCCTGTGCCAGGTCCACCAGCATCCAAGAGCACACTCACAAGTTGAAGGTCAGAGGCTGCAACGTCAGCAATCTCCTCGGTCACAGAAGCACGGGCTTCCAGCAGCAGGCTCACCATCGGCACATCGCCGTTCTCGACGGCTGCAAGGAGTGGGTTGGCTGAGTCACAGGGCGACTGCAAGAACCAGCAGGCGTTTGGCACAGCCAAGTTGGGATCCTGTGGACGCTGCAGGACCTCCTCGAAGCTTCATGCATAGTGCAAGTAGCAACTTAGCCCGAATTAAATCACCCGTTAACCTTCCTAGTACTATCGATGAGCCCTTGACGTCCTCAACTTGCAAAAGGCTGCCACGCTTTGCCAGGTCTATGAGCTCTTCAACTTGCCTGAGCTTTCACCCCGGAGGTAGAGGTTTTGGGGGTTTAGTTTAGGGTTTCGGGGGGATGAGGGTTTTAAAGTTTTTCGCTTTTTTGGGTTTAGGCTTTGGGGGTTTAGGGCGGGGCCCGGGGGGATGGAGGAAAAGCTAATCCGTGGCTACTCTTGGCTATCGTTCCCGTGTGAAGACAGGTTTACTGCTACTACCGGGTCATACATAGTGTTTGCAGATACTGGGAAGCAGAAAAAACGATTTGTCTATCTTAGCTGCCCGGTAGCTCTTGTGCGGAGTGGCAGAACGGCAGCAGTACGATTTGGAGGTCCACGGGTGCGACCAACCTGACCCAATTCTCTCAGCGCTAAATGCGAAAGCCTATGTGACTTTACCCTCACAACCCAGACTTCCGGTTCGGGAACTTCCGTGATTCGAGTTCAAGGGCTGTAAAGAATGCGATGAGAGATTAAACAGGAGAAGCTGGGCGGGAAGCCAACATTCAGAGTCGATCTGTGCTCCCTTGTCTCTCATTACGATGGTGCCGCCTTGCATCATCATCCAGGCTGCTGCCGTTACACAGCAGTCTCTGCCGGAAACGTGGCAACCCGTGGAATTGCTGAAGATGCCGCTTCAGGGAACGCACATCCGACTGCTCCTCCACAGGCAGTGCAGCGAGCTCCTCTCCCGAAACGGTCCAGACGCGCAGCATGTCGACATTGCGTGCCGAAAGGGGCTAGATCACCGCAGCTGCATTAGCTACGATGGCACGCCGTGTTGTAGTCATGAGCAAAACAATGTAGTCAAACATACCTCGAACAAGTAGTAGTACTAAGTACGAGTACTAGTACTACGACTACGACGACGACGACTACTACTACTAATTACAAGGACTCCCCTCCTCCTGCTGCTGTTCCTGCTACTACGACTGCTGTGCTGCTGCAGCTACTACTATGGCTACTACTACGACTACTACGACGACTACTACTGCTGCTAAACATGATGAGAAGGGCAACCGCGAAGGGTGCGGAGTAAGAGTGGCTGACTTCGCAAGTCGCAAGAGAAGCGAGACTCACGGCGCAATGCTTGTTGTCTTCAACTGCTCAGGTTCCGACCGTACCCGACGGTCGTGGCAGTCGTGAAGAACCACCAGAAGGCATGAAGAATCGATCTGGCTTCGGATGCATATCTGTCGGGGATTCACATGCTCTTACTTGACTGCCATTTATTCTTGCGCAGCCACGACAATGTATCCACGAGAGCGACTTTTGCATTCCCGCGGTTTCGGCCTAGTAGGCTCACGGTCAGACTACAAAGCCTCAGCTGCTGCCTACTGTACGTGTACTGCGAAGCCGCAAGGTGTTGGATTCAGGCCTTCTCTTTCCCGAGTGTGGCTTCCCTTCAGGACTGGACGTTTTCGTTGGGGTTCCTTGACTCCTTGACTTGATTGACACGAAGCCTTGCTTTTCGTTCCTATCCGAACCCTGTAGCAAGAAGGAGTGTGTGGACTGTGAGAGATGCCAAAGATGTTATCACACAGCCAGGCGTGCCTAAAGGGCGTGACCTCCATGCCGTATCCGTCGATCGTCGGTCTGCGCGTGTAACAGGCGAGCTTCATCCAAGTGGTATGCGCTTCATCCTTTCCTTTCGGATGCAATGGCCCAGCAGCCGCCCTGCAAACCGTAGCAAACTCCAAACTAACGCACGTAAACTATAATGTGCGGTAGCAGGCCCTTGCAGCTTGAATCGTAGCTCATAAGCTTACGGACCCAGCCTGACGTACACGCCATAGGGATGCCTGGGCCAGTCGAATTACAGGGTGTAGTGCTGTACTTTCAGAAACTATAAGGCCTCCGACACGGAGTTCCAGCGGCCATCCAGAGTCTAGGGTTGTGATTCGTAACGAGACACAGGAACAGAAAGATAGACGGTATGAGGGGTGGTAGCAAGAAGTGGCACCACGGATGTATCCAACATACGTTCATAGAACTACAGCGGCTCCAGGGCTAGAACAGGATGCAACCACAGGTATGACATGTGGTAGCAGAGCTTTGGAAGACTGTGGGGGCAGTTTAACCACGCGGCGGTGCCGTAACACAATGAGTCATACTTCAAAGCATACCGGCGATGAAGCTTCGCGAGCTTTCTTGGGCCCCGACTCTGCGGTGAAGTGCTCGACGGAGTACTGGTTACCTTCTGCGAAATAGATGCATGACCTCAGCTTCCACATCCACAGATCTCAGGACATTTTCTGTCTTCAGGATAGAGGGCTGGTTGGGCTTTCCTAGACTCCCAAAAGTAGGTTAAATAATGGCCCAAAACCCACAAAAGGCTATTATTCTACATACTTTGAGGGTCCAGGTTATGGTTTAGCCAGGGTAGGTTTCGAGCTTGGGGTTCTGGCCGTCTCTGGGTTTCGTGCCACAAGCAGCATTCGACTTCAACTCGGACTCACGGGTCGAAGGTCATAGAGTCAAGGGTTTAGGGCTTAGGGTTTTAGGTTGAAGTTCTACGGTACGAACCATAAACACCAATGAATGCCAAGGGTGTCCGTGAGCATGAATGCTTCAAGCCTGGAGGCAAACCGAGATTTAGTTGATGGTATTTTAGTGGGTTTTGGCTCTGGGCAGGCTATGTGAAAGTCATGTGAGGGATATCTCCCCGAGTCGAAACATGTCAGAAGCTTGAAAACTACGAAGGATATGCGTATTTCCGATGCTCTGTCTTCGGGCAGCACGGAAAGGCTTTCACCCCATTTTGCGAATTTGTATACCTCTTCATGCAAGCCTCTGCATGGGGGCCCGCAACATCCCTCAGAGCCCGCCTGAATCCGTTCACTCCCAATCGGAAAAACTGGAAGACACAATTCCCAAAGCCATCACCAAGTCGAGGTTACCGCACTGGGCTCCCCTGCGCGAAGAGCACGCAGACCAAGATCGTCAGGGAAAAGACGGACACGATGCCTGGCATGTGGGATTTATTGGCACGGACCCCCGACCTTGAACCGCGAGCCTCAACTACCTCGAGCCCGTCCGACCCGCAGAGAACCCCGACAAGCGTGCAAACTCCAGGTAAGACATAGAACGAAAGAAGCAGTCTTGTTCCTGCAGCATGGGGCCCTGATCTGAGCTTCAGTGCAGTCTTGCAGAAATAGTACCTCAAAGCCGCTGGCCCTGACCCTCGACAACTCATCAATCCGGGCTACAGGTAAAGTTGAAAGCGTTCCCTTGCTCGTGAGCCTACAGACTGAGTTCTAGAGTGTGACGAATCACAAGGCCACCAAATGATAAATGGTGTGCCACGTTGAGTAAATCTACAGCTCATGCAGATCTTGTCTGTACCCGGACTGACATATGGGTGGTTGTCAAAATTAGGGTCCCTTTTTGGGTCCTTATTATAATACGGCACCTAATATTTAAGGTACCCAAAAAGGGACCCTAATTTTTTTGCTGCACTGTGTGTCTAACGCCGCGACCTGTCGACGATACTAAGGTAAAGCCCGATTCGGCGAATTATCGAAAAGGATAATCATTGATAGCACGGAATATTGCGGAACTGCGCAAGGTCAGGCACCCACTTTGTGCTCAGCAAAAAGGGACCCTAATTGTGACAACCACCCACATATTATGGAAGATGTTTGTTTAGACCTTGGGAAACCACTCGAGGGACACATACTCCTGAGGTATTGAAGCCGTGATCCAAACATGCCCCCAACAGGCACCCAGAGACTCCAATACCCCTTAACTGAGGAATGTACCTTAAATCATACTTGGGTTCCTATTATAATTTAAGGCATATTCCTTAATTAAGGGGTATTGGAGTCTCTGGGCAACGAGATCTCCCATCAAAACCCTCACGCGACGACACCTGGCAGCGAATCCTTGACGATGTCAACAATCCTCAGCACGTCACACTTGGAGGTTCATGGGTAGTAGGGACAAAGTAGGGTAACTATACTTACAGCCCATATTGGCGGATTTATAACCCAACTTATAACTTATAACCTCCCATGAACCTGCAAGCAAGGCTTGAAATTGAAGTCTGAAAGACGAACTGTGGAGGAGTGCCGTAATTATCTTTTATCCGGAGAAGCTCTTCCAACAAGACCAAGATATCATGTCGGAAATCAGAGAATCCAAGCCCTCTTGCAACAGCCGTTGCTATCGCCCACCAGGACGCAGCCATTCCTCAACCATCTGACCCAAATCTCAGCATCCTATGTTCTTTGACATGCCAGTGCATTCCAGTATTCTCACGAGAAACATCAACATAGCTGCATCTGATCTATGCTTATCATGGCGATGACGACAATTGCGTCATAGCAGGCGTCGGCCACTTTCCAGGGCGGGGGCTAAACAATTGGTTCCTAAGTCGTTGATCGCAACCGACTCAGCACAGCAAACATTCCGAACAGTTTGTTCCATTCCTCCTTGGCCCTGAAACCGCGAATTGTACTTCCAGCTCTTCTCCAGAACAGTCGAAGGGTGGAGGCTACTCTTTTCCGTGGGCGTCCCGGGAACTCTTAATGGCCAAGCTCTGCAAACCAAAAAACCTTTGTCTCCACTCTACACCCACACCCTACACATCCCTACACTCCCCAACCCCCGTTCAAGATCTTCCCTACACCCTAAGCCCCTTAACCTAGCCCAAGGCGCATGTCCACGCAATTTCGCATCTTTGGGGATTTCAGAAGCCGGAAGATGCGGATGAGGCGAATGACACCTCAGAAGCGGCAATCCACGAGCCCAAACCCGCAAACCCCAACAAGTGCAGCCTGCGTTGGCCGAAGCGTTCGGGTGTCTCAGTCTCAGTCTACCTTTAGGCCTTGGGGGGTCTAAGAGTTTGGGCTTAGGCCCTGTAGGTTTAAAGCTCGAGGTTTTCCTTCTGCGAGGTCTGGCATGTGGGCAACAGGAAGGGAAGTAATTGGAGCTTCTGAGCAACTAATTGTGCAGGGAGAGGAGGAATACTGTCCCTAAAAGAAGCCGTTCTTGTCGTAACTTTTTATGGCTTCCGTTGTAGTATATAACCCTCATAGAACCCCTTTTTGCTGTCCCTTAAAGCAGCCCGCAATAAAATCCTTGTAGCATCTCTTGTAGCCCTTGTCGTCCGAGCGTCGTATCACGGCAGAGCTGCCCAGCTGCAGCCTGCAGCCAGTTTAGGGTTTGGGGTTTTGGGGCCCCATCTGAGCATAATGTAGGCACCCTACTAATCAGAATAGGGTCTGGGGATACTAGTAACTCCCACAAATGAACCGTAAGGAATAGTAGGACTAATCATTCCGACCCCAATACGTGTAGTCGGCTGTTCGAGGTCCGAAATCGTTCTATGTTGGGGCTTCCTTTGAACTATCCAGGTGGTCCAAGCCCCGAAACCCTAAATAAAGCAGTCCTGTCAAAGCCAACATACTGATCCCCACAGGCCCACAGGCCAAGAAACTTATACCCTAGACTCCCTAGACATCCCTGCACCTCAAATTGAACAACCCAGAGCCGAATCACGGGACCCCAAACCCCCTAGATTTCCCCCAAAGCCCCGAACCCACTAAACCCCCAAGATCTTCACGAAAGTCCAGCAGCCCAGCAAGCTCCAGATAGAATGGCACCTGAGGGTCCAGAGCTTAGAGTGTTAGGATTTTCGGGCTTTTAATATTACTCGTATTGATACTACTGTTATGGATATTTTTGTTACGATTATTTATGATTACTGTTAATAGTATTGGCTCGAAGAGATTAGGTGCAGGTTTGTGGGGCTGTGGGATTGGAGCATGTAGGGCCGACGCCAATAAAGAGATCGGCTACTTGGTACAAGGGCGAGCTACGGCATAGCCGTGCGGAAACTACGGACGGCAACGCTGGTACTGCCTCAAGATGCTTGGGATTTAACGTCTGTCCTGGGCAGACACACTTTGGATGCGGTTTACCGTCAAAACGTCTTTGGCCTCGAGGCTCAACACTCAGAACTTTGGAAGCGAATGAAGCCCTAAATCCTGTTCATTGCTGACGTCCGAACACTGTGCAGCCCGGCCAAGACAGCGGTCGTAAACTTGGGTAAGACATGAGATACAGCGACAGCGACCAGGAGAGGATGATTCTATGGATGGACCAGAGCCTCATCGAACAAAGATCCCACATAACCTGTCTCCTTGCACGACTTCTGCAGCCCAGGTGCTATCGCAAACAGATCCACGAGGTTCAGCCACTGAATCACATAACCTGCGCAGGAGCGAGGGGCTGGGGTCCCATATGCAGAGTAGAAAGCCACCTTCTGCAACTGTTTGACTATTGCTATCCGCTCTTGCGAGAATGTACTGACCGTTATGCTGCAAGCATTATCATTGCTCCTACAGTTACCATGTTTGTTGTTGTCATTGCTCTTATCATTGTTAGTGTTGTTACGGGTACTATTGCAAAGTCATGCTTGTCATGACTATTCAATTCGCTTTTGCGGCAAGAAGCTCGCGGACAACGCCAAATTGTGAAGTTGTGTGTGAACAGAGAGTCTGCAGCACACACTCTGTTGATACTCAGGGCTTCGGAATTGTGTAGTAGGGGGTCTAGCAGAGTTGCACGCTACCACTATGTCAGGCAGGCAGCGCCACGTGGCTTTCCACGCAGGCACCTCCTTCTCCCCGACGTACTGAACCTTTGCGGCTGGCAGGATGATGGAAGGGCCCCGATTGCGAGCGTTTGTGCGGGAGCGTCTCGATCTTTACAGCAGCGAAATGATCTTTGGAGCCCAACATTGGACTTCGGCGATCCACATACTCAGCAGTTGACCCTGTGCCAAGTAAAGACATTCTGTGGCAAATGAAGATCGATTCATTGTCGGGACTGCCTGCAGGCGTGGAAAGACATGCGTAGTCATAGCAGTAGTAGCAGCTAGTCAGTAGCAGTAGTCTAGTACGGTAGTAGTAGTAGTAGTAGTAGTAGTAGTCGTAGTAGTAGTAGTAGTAGCAGCAGCAGTAGTAGTAGCAGCAGCAGCAGGGGGAGGAGTAGTGCTGGTTTTGGCTGCGGTGGTTGCTGCCTTTGGCAGCACCGCTGTCGTCGTTGTTGCGGTACTTACAGGCTTTTCACGGCAGCCTTGCAGGCTCCAAAGCAGTTCGATTGAAATGTCATGCCATGGCACGCCAAGCTCACGTGCTGTCATCGCATGAGCAGTGCAGATGCGAAGGACGTAGTCCACGGTGAAGATAATAATGCAAACCTGGAGCAACACCGGGATAACCAAAGGTGGGTGCAGTGTGGCAGTGTCTGATGAACTGGCCTCTTGCTTTTTGCAGAAGCTGACCGTTCCTTCCTACAGCCTACAGCGTCTTCATGCGACTTTCACGGAAGCCTCCAACACCAATCAATTGAGTTTGAATACGAGAGAACGGCTGGTTGCCACTGGCTTGGAAGTTTCTAGTACATCTGATAGCGGGTTGTACATTATGCCCACGCCCCATCCCCTGCTTCTCTGACACTCCCAGCTGCATGCAAATCTGTGCTTGGCATACCTCTCCTGGTGTCAAGAATTACTGCAGACAAGCCGCCAACTCTATCTGGAAAAACCTGGGCATGCGGCTCTCTCCGAGTCTTCTACAATCAAGCTCCATACATCATGATCTTGCTCAGCATTTGGAGCTGCGCAGGACCGTTCATGGACAATCTAGCCAGCTCTACCCCTGCAAAGGCACACGCGTGTGAACACACCACAAGTGGACTCAGGCCGAATCCAATGAGGTTTCGACAGGTATTGATACTGCTTGGTTAATTACACCTGCACTTGCAACCCAAGTAGACCCTGAACCCTAAACACTAGCCAAGGATCGCTTGCGACGGCTGCGGCCGGCAGTTTTCGACAGTCACGAGGCTGTCGCCTCAGGTCTCTGGAAAAGGTTAAGGATTTGGGGTTCAGGGGCTACTTTAGATCCTATGGTTGAGGAACTGAAGGCTTGGGAACTGGCACTTGGCTGTCCAGCCTGCAGGTAGCAGATAAATCTGGAACATGTTCCCTGGCTGAAACGGTACACTCGAAGGACGTCAAAGCGAGGCGTTTTGCCTGATGAGGGTGCCGCCCCCAGAATCTAGAGTAGTGGGGGTCCAACATCTCATCCCCGCTCAAGGGCTGAAGATTATCCCCAATGTCACATGCGACTATCCACAGGGTCCCTCGGACTCTTCAGCTGCAAGCGAAGTCGCATGCGTCAGGTACGTGACTGAGTTCCGGCATAGACTCCAAGAGCATGCTGACCTCGGCGCATACCGGGGTCCAGACCCTTGCATCCGAAACAGTGTGAGCCAGAGTGGGCTGCTTCGCTGCCTACCCGCCACACCCCTGAAATTCCAACACTACCGCACCATGCAAGCATGAGTATGGTGTCCGAGAATCTGAATATTGTCTCGATTGTGCTGCTGCCATCAATTTCTGACTTTTCTTCAACGATGCTTTCAGAGAGCGCGTCAAGTCAGGCCCGCGTAGATCCGAAGCTATACGAAGCAATGGCTTTCCTTCTGGGGGATGCACAGTGATTCCGCCCATGCGGATCATGATGCCATGCGCATGGGAGTTTCAGAAAAAGGACCTTAAAACAGACCGACAATAATGGGATCCCTTCTTCTTAAGGACCCCAGCTCAGGTCCCACAAGTCTTACAAACACCAAGCCACCTCAAGGATCCGCCTAAGTGCCGAACCTTGGCCTCAACCCTGACCCCCTAATGGCCTACATAAATCCTGCCCCAGCCATCTTCGGCAAACCAAGGAAGACTTCCCCCAAACTCCAAAACCTTGACCCCTAAACCCTAAATCGAAAGCCCAACAACCCGAAGCCCCCTCAGATCCTGGACACCTAATTAACAATAACCATGTTAATTCCTTTGGGTTCTTTCCTGTAACGATGGTCTTAGTTAGATACTCCCCAAACCCTAGTGTTACATGGCCCCTAGAACAGCATGATATACTCCGGGGAGGCGGCCGTCGTCACTAAAATCACCGCGGTGATGAAATAGGAGGCCCACCTTCGAACGACTTGGCATAAGCTTTGCGGTTTTGGGGCTTGGGGCCTGTAAGGGGTACTATGAGGCTTACTCATTATAAGGGTTCGATATGCAAATGTATATGTATAAACAAAAGAATATACATAAATAAACTACTATATGCATATATATGTATGTATGTATGTATATATATATATATATATATATTCTATTTCATATACAGAAGAGGAGGCTGTGGGGCCTGCGTTTTGGCAACCCACTAGTTTCGGTGATTTTGTATGTTTCGAATGGTTGTGCTCTCTCTGTATATATACATACACATATTTATATCTGTACGCACACACATACAAGACATACAAAGTAAGTATAGAGGGTGTTTAGGGTTTGGGGTTCCGGGTAGGGGACATGCGGGTTGCGCGGAGAAAATCTTCTCACGACAAGTCTGGAATCCAGCCACTATCCGATGGTGATAAAGAGTGTAACCAACAACTCCACAAAAGGCTCGTTGCAGTATCTGCAGTACTTTGACCTGAAAGCAGTCGCTTTCTGCCGTACACCGGCTTCGTTGGGGCGCGCCTTCGCCGAAGGGTCGCTTTATCAAAGGGTATTGAAGCCGAAGAACTCTTGACAGTGCTTGCACGGTCTGTATACCATCGGGTCTGTATAACAGTTTCTTGCACCCCAAAGTCTCCCGCCGGATTTTAAATTTTACCCCATCTAAATCCCTACAGCTCCAGCAAAACTCGAGATCCAAATCTTCGTCATGAAAGCCTGGGGCCTGCAAAAACGGAGGATCCATAGCTACGATATAGCCTGCGGCGTCTATTCTTATCAGCACGTCAACCAGTAAATCACTGAACAAACATAAACAGACGGTTTCTGTTTCTCTTAAGTTTACCCTCTTGCTGCAGTCGACGATGTAATCGTTGATGATGTCCCGAATTTTCCCGCAATTTGGCATCATGTCGGGAGGCCTTGCCACTTCGCTTGACGATGGGTCGTTGAGGACCTTGAAAACGGTCCTGTGCACTTCGTTGCTTGGGTTGCGATCATCGCTGGGGACAGGTCCTGCTTCGCACGCCTATTTCAGTGCGTGACTGTCGGTTTCGCGTTGTTGTGGGGCATGGGCATGTAGGCACACTTGGAATGCAGTTGTAATGTCTTCCAACTTGATGCAGAGAGACATTGCTTCGCAGCAAGGACCTGCGGTGCAGAGACCGACAACGGCAGCACCAAGAGATCGTGCACAATTGTCCCCCATCAGCAACAATAACATCACCAGCAACCAGCAGGAGCTGCAGCCACTCATCAGGAAGAGCCGGTACTACAAATTTCTTGAGCACAGGTATCAAGCTCTCGGCCCCTGGGGTTCCTCCGCAGTCCCTCTCTGTCTGTGCCGGAGAGCTGATAGAACATGCTCCTGGCAAGATCTGCAGCTGTTTGGCTAAAGCTTGTTGACCGTCGTTGAATCTAGAATGTCTCTTCGTCCAGAGTTGTCTGGCTTGTCGGTCCTGGTGAGCTGTTGCCAGACATGGATAGGAATCGTCTTGAGACACCGTTCTCCAGGCCACTGGGTTGCAAGATGAGAAAGTTGTGCCATGATTACGGTCTGACATCTGACCCAGGCTTCAACTATATACGAAGATGTTTCTATTGTTGGTTCGTTGCCAATGTTGCTCCTAGCACTTGTGCTGGCATGAGATCGTTTACTGTTTGTCCTGCTGATCCTCCTCCTCCTCCTCCGCTACTACTACTACTACGACGACGACTACTACTACTACTACGACTACGACTACTACTACTACTACGACGACGACGACGACTACTACTACGACGACTACTACTACTACTACTACTACTACTGCGACGACGACCACCGCCACAACCGCTGCCACCGGTACGAAGATCGCCACCACCGTCACTGCCAATGTCGACGCAACCGCCACCGCAAACGCACCACCACCAACACCGCCATCACCACCACTGCGACCACAACTACACTGCTATTGTGACTACTGTCACCTACAACCCCGGCACCACAAGTTACCTCTGCTCTACGACGAAGGAGCGGCGACAACGACTCTGTTTGTCGATCCACAGATCATGTTCGAACTGGCTCCTAGAGACGGACTCTGGCTTCCCTTGCAACTCCCCAACAATTGACAATGCTACCTGTCTTCCGCTACTAACGTCTTGTAGGGCAGGGAGATCCCAGGACAGAAGCGGATTAGGGCACTCTGAAGGACCGAGGTCTGAGATGCAAAATTCCGAACGTCCTTACCCCTCCCCCAAAGGAGTCGGCGCACTTCTTGACAGCTAGCGGCGCAATGGGCAGAAGGTGCTGTTCCGCCACCTATCCAAGCTTCTGTGCGATCCAGAAGATCGATGTGGTATGTGGGCTGTCATGGAGAGACTACATGATAGGCTATTTGAGAATTTTTGGCAGATTGGTTGCCTGGATGTACGCACATATGCATATATCTGTATATGCACGTACATATGTATGCATACATGCATGAATATTACTTGCTTTGCGCATGCGTGCACTTATACATGCCCATATGTTTTCCAACTTCATGAAGTTCTGTATGCTTGCACACAGATATCAATGTAACGATGTCAGTTGTAGACATTGGCAGCCGATGCAGTACCAGACACTGGCAAAGCTCGTCGTAATTACTTACACCACAGCTAAGGCCGCTAGTAATTCAGGTAATATTGGTGTTGCTGTTCTGGCCTCTCTTGTTCCGAATCGCGAATGCTTGTAGTCTGGTACCTGCTACAAGGATCATGATGACCTTGTAAGGGCGAAGCCTTCTCCCTTCCAGCTGTCCCGGTGCTTCTTAAGAACAAGTTAAGTTCTTCTGGAATTGCTGCTAGCTGCAGCTTGTTCTGTCTCTTGGCAGTGAACCTAAATGATAGAAACACAAGCTAACCTGAACATTTCTACTGCGCATAGAAGGGGTTGCAGCAGCAGTTGTAATAGTAGTAGTAGTAGTAGTAGTAGTAGTAGTAGTAGTAGTAGTAGTAGTAGTAGTAGTAGTAGTAGTAGTAGTAGTAGTAGTAGTGGTAGTAGGAGCAGTACTCGTAGTGGTGGTGGTGGTAGTGGTAGTAGCGGTAGGAAGTACTAGAAGTCGTCATCATCGTCGTTGTAGTGGTAGTAGTAGTAGTAGTAGTAGCAGGAGTAGCAGCCGTATCAGTGGTAGTAGTAGTAGTAGTCGTCGTCGTAGTCGTAGTCGTAGTCGTAGTCGTAGTAGTAGTAGACTAGTTGTAGAAGTAGTTGTAGTAGCAGTAGCAGTGGTAGAAGTAGAAGTACAAGTAGAAGCAGTAGTAGAGTAGGTGAAGGACTAGTCGCGTTGGTGCTGGCTGTGGTGGTGGTTCAGCTTGCGATGGTCGCTGTGACAGCAGCAGGACCACTGGGTGCTTTATGTAGTGTGCTTGTCTTTACATAATGCAATGGATTGCGGCTACGCTGGTGACCGTGATTGTTCCTACTGTGACTACGACTTGGGGCTTAGTGTCTTCACATTTCAAAATGAATCAAATTGAATTTGTGAGTGCTAGTCTTGCTCTTTTGGAGGCGGGTTCCGGATTACCTCGCTGGCACTTACTGACCTATTCGGCTCGTGAGGAAGCCTTGATGACCTCTTCTTCCCCCTCTAATTTAGGGTTGAGGGGAGGTTAGAGTCGAGGATTTCAAAAGGTACGGATGGCTGAAAGACTACGGTGCTGTTCCAAATCCAGCTTCTTGACTGAATCCTCAACCGGAAGGACTGGAGTTTAATTAGAGTCGAGGATTTCGACAGGTACGCATGGCTGACAGACTGCGGTGTTGTTCTTAATCCAGCTTCTTTCAACCGGAAGCTCCTAACGGCCAAACCGCGATTCATGGCTTTGTGCACCAGCCCGTTGCTGCAAGGCAAGATGTCTCCCTCTTCGGCCTCTAGCAACTTGGGCGCATTCTTTCGCTTCCTCGGCATTTGCATCGACATGGACAGCTTCGGGATATGCAATCTTGCTACTGTTGTTGGGAGATGAAGCAAGCTCGGCGTGGGAGGACCTTGCAGGTTCATCGAGCTTATAGCCGCAAACGAGGCATCTTCTGAATTGGAATCTAGTAGCATCGGATTTGAAGACTCTTTCTCACAGCAGCGATTGAACGCAACCTCCAAGCAAAGTCCATTGAGCAAAAGTGGTGTCGGCTTGGCGCTAAGGTTAGCATGATCAGCAGAAACTCTGCTGCCGCAGTGTGGAACAACCCCCCCACCCACCCACCCACCACCCACCGATCGCGATTCAAGCAATCGAATCTATCACGAAAAGAGTGAGAGGACAGATTGGTAAGAGGACGCCAGCAGACGAAGACAGAGGCGGCCACCTGAAGAGTCGGTCATCGAAGAATCAGGCAAGCGAACCAATCTCCGTCAGTAGGAAGACGGACAGACACAAGTCTCTAGCTGAGAGCTGGCGAGGACATGTCTGTACATTTTCACTCTACGGACCCAGTCTGCGAGGGTGGAGAAGTGGAGAGGGAGGTGCTGGGGCCGGAAGGCAGGGAGGCACAGGGTTTGGGATTGAAGGTTGTGGTGGTGGTTTTGTGGGGAGGATTCGGGGTTGACGTGGTATGGCGGTGCACTCGGTGGATTTTGGTATCTCGTTGCGAGTCCGTTTTGTGTTGCGATTATTGTCGCGGGGGTTGGCATTGCTTTAGTGACAACTTTAGTGGTTCTTGTGTAGTGGTGGTTGCGGCAACGGGATGGTCGAGGGAGGCGCGGAGGGAAAAAAAAGAAGAGGAAACGGGCGAAGGAGGGCTTGGGGGGAACGGTGTCAACTTGCAGCGAACATTACACGGCCGAGGCGGGTTCGCGCAGCGCTTAAATTGTTCTCCTGCGTACAAAATGCACGCATGCACGCACGTTTGCATGTGTGCAACGATTTGTGGTATGCATGTCGTTGCCTGCGGTGATGGGCATCTGTACCATCATGTCGTATCGCTTACTACCTGGCTGCCCCCTCTCCCCCACTTCCGACCGACCACAAACGACGCGAACAGACGACAGCAAAACACATGCATCTTGGTTACACTGCGCGAGTACCAGCTCTGAAAGGAGGTTCCCCTTCTTTCGGTGCTCCGGGGCCCCAGGCCGTTCCAGGTGCCTCGCGTAGGCGGCCTCGAAGTTCGAGCTAAGAACGCCTGGCGCTCGGAGCTCAGGCGGAGCTCAGGAGGGGGCCTTGGACTTGGGCTTTGGGGGTTAGAAGCTGTGGGTTGTTGCTGGGCTTCAGATACCGGCCGGCAATTGGGAGGTGCGCTTTTACGTAGTGGTGATGAATTATGCTCTTCAAGCTCTGCGTGCAAGCATTATAGTTGAACTCCCGCTTGAGACTAAAACAGACAGGAGCGTGGGATGGAAGGGCTTCCAACGCAGGTTTTGTCAAAGGGCGCAGGATTGCACGGGAAATAATCCGGCTCCCAAATCCTTTACACGCCGCATGCCTGCACCGAAATAGGTAATTATTTAAGGCCCCTTATAATGAACTCCAAAGGGTCCTCGAGTCCCAGGTCTCAAGCCTTGGAATCCAGAATAGCAAGACTGGTTTCTTGTTAAGAACTTTCGTTTAAGTTGCCGTAACAAGGAAACCCCATTATTCACTATAGATCCCTATTATGCTGAGCAAGAACCCAGAGGAGATTCCAAGGCTGGAGCTCCCGCATTTGAGGTTTGGCTGGTCCGTTGCCCAAGCAGTGCGTCTTCATGGGCCGGTACCAAGCGAAAAAGTTCGGTGCTTGGCGGTGTCACGGTCTCGTTTGTGTCCTTCCGACATTTTCTAGCCCGAGACGAGCTTACTCGCACGAGAACTGAAGAGCTCTGACCAGAGCCGCTTAATCCACAGAAGAACCTTCGACCAGGGTCTAGCTGCACCGGCCAAGGCGCCGACAACTGAAATCCAACATCTGTCGGTGCTGAATGTCAACACCCCGTGACAAGGACTCCAAGTCCTACTCCGTCAGAAACAAGAATGACCATCGATGGCCTATGGGCAAGGCAAGGAAGATGATTCCTGGCACGGGAGCATTCAGAATTGTAGCGATAATTGAAGTTTCGTTTGACAAAATTGGCTTGGTCGTGTTTACAACAACTACCGTAAGAAATGGCACGTTGAGCAGCAGTATGACGAAACACCATCATACAAGGATTTGGTGCACTGATTCTTCTTCCGGCAACACCTTCTCTATCAATCGCCGCGATCACGTTTCCCGGACTGCCATGGCCCACTGCCTTTGTGCATAGTCGGATTGTCTTAGCTACCCTGAAGCGAAGCGAACAGTCTGTTTGCACCCGGCCTGTGTAGAAGCACAAGACACCTATGGCTCTGCCCACATGGGATGTTGGCGCCATGTCGCCATATCCCACCTCAGCTGCCAAGGTGTGGTGAGTTTAGGTTTCGGGATTCCGGGTTACGGATTTCGGGCGCCAGTTTCGGAGGTACTCTGGACGGTCTGCTTCGAAATTTTTGCCTTCTACAATGCTTTGAATGCACTGTCAACGCCAAAGTCGATCAAGGTCATCCCACTTATAACTTATAACTCCTCTTTTTCTCTCTCTCGCTCTCTCTCTATCTATCTCTCCCTCTCTCTCTTTCTCTCTCTCTCTTTCTCTCTCTCTCTCTCTCTCTCTCTCTCTCTCTCTCTCTCTCTCTCTCTTTTGTCTCTGTGACACCTACTTCTGGATTCCATCTCAGTTCGGAGATCTACATGTATCTACCTCCAATGCTGCCCTGGCTGCTGTGGTCGTGGTTGTGAAAACCCACCTTGGCAATGGAAAGGGAGGCGGGTTCAAGAGGGAGAAGCTGAGAAGACGGATCACTGTTCAATCTGCGCCCAGCTGATCTGAGACGAGCTGCCACAAAGAGATGGGAATAGACCGGAACGGCGTCAGGAGGCGATTACCTTGGTGCGACGACTCATAGGCAGCAGCCTCACTGCCCAACCTCCTGCACCTGGCTGCTCCTCAAACCTTCTCCTGCAGGTTCGAATGTGGAGCAAAGTCACGAAGCCCAAGGCCAGCCGCAAGGCAAGTTCATGTTGATACGATGAAGAACACCATTTCATGTCTCATGATTTGCCAGGGCTGCGATGCAACCGTGTTCAGATCTCAGGGTCGGATGCAGCCGCCGGGGGTTGGCAGACGAAACGGCTCTCACATCAACAAGGGAGCAATGGGCCTGAACCACATTCCTGGCATACTCCACTAACATGGGTGCAGAAGTAGCTGCAAGGTGAATCGACGGGTTTGGCAAGTCAGAAAGCGTCCTGCCAAAATCGGAAGCACTTGCCCAAACCTCCTCTGGACGAGATGCCGTAGGTGTCCATTCGAACGAAGACGCCTTGCACGGGCTTCATGACAGGTCGCCAAAGGAGTAGCTAGTGATGTCAGAAGGATCACAAGAGCTCCCTTGCCTGCAAGTTTACACGTCCTTGACAACTTGAGACCCCTTACACCGGATAAGTTAGCTGAGCTGAGGGGCCTGTAAACAGTTTTTGTCTTGGATCTGTACGTATGCACCTGTGCGTGTGTACGTGCGTGTGCGTGCGTGTGTACGTGCGTGTGTGCGTGCGTGTGTGCGTGTGTGCGTGTGTGTGTGCGTGCGTGTGTGCATGTGTGCGTGCGTGTGTGCGTGCGTGTGTGCGTGTGTGTGTGCGTGTGTGCGTGCGTGTGTGCCTGCGTGTGTGCGTGTGTGCGCGCGTGTGTGCGTGCGTGTGTGCGTGTGTGCGTGCGTGTGAGCGTGCGTGTGTGCGTGCGTGCGTGTGTGCGTGCGTGTGTGCCTGTGTGCGTGCGTGTGTGCGTGCGTGTGTGCGTGCGTGTGTGCGTGTGTGCGTGCGTGTGTGCGTGCGTGTGTGCGTGCGTGTGTGCGTGCGTGTGTGCGTGCGTGTGTGCGTGCGTGCGTGCGTGTGCGTGCGCGTGCGCGTGCGCGTGCGCGTGCGTGCGCGCGTGCGTGCGTGCGTGTGTCCGTGCGTATATATGCGTGTACGTACCGTGCGCGTACATGCACGCGCATGCACGCACACCCGCACGTACATGCACGTACACCCGTACGCGCAGGAATAGCCAGGATTTAGCCAGGAATCCTGGCTAAATCCTGGCTATTCCTGCGCGTACGGGTGTACGTGCGTGTGTGTGCATGTGTACGTACACATGCGCGTGCATGTATGCACACCCGTACGTATATACACGCACGTACATGTACGCACGCACGCACGCGCACGTACGCACGCACGCGCATACGTACGTACTAATAACGCACACGCACGCACACGCACGCACACGCACACACGCACGCACACACGCACGCATGCACGCACGTACTCACGCACGCACGCACACACGCACACACGCACGCACACACGCACGCACACATGCACGCACACACGCGCGCACACACGCACACACGCACGCACACACGCACGTACACACGCACAACTACCACACGTACACCACGTGGCTACATCTACTTAAAACACAGTTTACAGCCCCCTCAACTTAACTAACCGATGGTATGTCCAACTCGACATGCTTCCGGGTGTCAGGTTTGGGTTTGGTGCGGAGGTGTACTGGAGCTCCGTTTGTGGATCTAGAACCCCCCCCCGGCCGCCACACTTCTTGCGCCTCGGTCCTTGCGCAAACTGGGGCACATGTTGCACTGCAGTTCGGATCTGGATACGTTTTGCAAAGCTGGGCTTCTGAGGAACACGGTGTGCACCACGATCGTGAGCCAGAAACTGCCAGTAGTACAAGTGCTCTTGACTTGCTGATAGGAGCTGTGAGCAACAGAAGAGGTACCGTTTTCCTTGTACAGTGCTGTCATAGTTTCTGGGGATGTCACCACACCCTTCTAAGGTTGAGACGACTTGAGGGTTACTGAAGCCGGATGAACATGTGACAGTACTTGGAGGTTCATGGGTAGCAATAAGTAGGGTTATAAGTCCCCTAACATGGGTTATAAGCATAGTTCCCCTACTTATAACTCCACTTATAACTACCCAGGAACCTTCAGGCCGAGACCCGAGATTTTGGACTGCCACGCCCGAAACCCTGTCCCGCAGATAGTACATATAGGTCTGACCTAAACTCCCATTTCCACAGAACTGAACCCTTACCAGTGAATGCCCCAAAGAAGTCCTTTACCTTCTCTACTTGGCCTTGCGGAAAGCCATTTTGCAGGAACTGGTCGTCCACGGAGAACTCGGAGCCTCTGTGTATACAAATTTTTATATGTGATATGAAGTGTACGTATCTATTTAGCTATTCATGCAAAATACGTATGTTTACAACATGACACATGGCACGACGATAGATATATTTACAGGTGTAATATACGCTAGGTCCATAGGATCTCCGCTTGTTGCGGGACTTCCATACATATTCTCGGTCACCCTGGGCCGTCATGCCCCAACTTACCCGTTCGAGGCCCTGCGTGCTCTTTGAGAAACAGGTGAACGGTACCGCTGTAATCTGTTCCAGGACCTACCATTGCCATAGGCCTGGGTCATACCCTGTGGAAGCTCGAAAAGGGGCCGCTGGGCTCAAGCCTAGACCCTCCCTTCGGTACCAGGCCTTTGGGGTGTAAGGGCTAATTAAGGCTTCAGCAGTTGTGGGTTTAAAGGCTTAGGGAAGAAGCCCGAAAGCCTGATCACTGCATATTTCTACAGGCTGCCCTGCCTTATCTTCTGGCAGGCCCTGTGCATGTCTTGCTCCCGGCCTTCGAAGTAAAAGATCACGGAGGCAAAGATCACCCCGAAGATGATGTTAAAGAACCTGTGGGCGTTGTGCGCTGGTGCTCCGAGCTGGTGTCAGTACAATTTCAGGTGCTGCTGCTCCCCTCGTTGCAGTAGATCTGCAGGACTTGGGCCTAGGAACTGGCAATTTTTTCCTGCGTCGAATCTACTGTAAGTCCTCCTCATCAGAAGCTTTATTTTGCACACATACCACCCGAAGCCGACTGCTCATCGAAACATAGTCCATGTGGCGATGGTACGGATTAGTGGCAAAATGCCAGCATCAAGAAGCGACTCCACCTCCCCGACTACCAAAGCCCATCATCTTGAACCCAACCCTCATCCTCATCATGACTCTCATCCTCCTAGTCACCTTAACAAGCAGCTGACGCAAAGCCTCAAGCATTTAAGTTGCATGCAAAGGCACATCAGGACGGCCAGAGGCACGCCGCTTTCGACTGTCGCCTGTCACTGACATTTCACAGCAGATCCTTCCTAAAAGCCCCCGAAGTCACGGCACTCTCCTTCGAAACTGTACACCATCCCAAAAAATCTAAACCCAATCCTCTCGCAGGCGACCCTCTTGGTAGCAACTGATGCCAAAGGACCTCGACGCAAAGCGTGATTCCAGGATGATGTTTAGCCAGCCTCGCATCCACGGACAGGATTGCGAAGCAAGCTCAGGGACAGGACTTCTGGCGAGATAGAAAGAAAAAGTAGATTCTGCCGCGCTTTCTTTACGTAATTTGTTACTAGAAGTATTGCCCGTATCATTGTTATGCTGCTCTTGCTGGCACGCGTACCCACACCGGTACGATTACATTAGTCGTGGAAATTATTTTGACCCAGTGGCGAAACGCCAAATTGAGGCAGAACCTCATCGCCCTTAATCCGACCAGCGCGGCCCAACTGCCAGACACCCCAGAGCCCCTCCGGACCCGAGGCCCTTCGGACGAGCAACTTCAGCAAGCGCAGCACGCGCATGAGCCTCGGTTTCTGTTGGGTTTAAGCAGATTCACATATCTCTGCAGCGCGTTAGCTGCAAGGCGCAGCTGTGCTTGCAGACTCGAACCGGGGATCATGATTCTATCCTTTCAAGTTGTTTCGTCTTGGGTGCCGGTAACCAAGTGTCTTCAACGCTGACTAACAGCATCATGTAACGTCTTGTAATGAAACCTTCACGATCTTCGAACATCTTCGAACAACTTCGAGTCATGCATCCGAATCTTCCCCAAGGCAATGGCAAAGCAGCTGCGGTCGCATGCGAAAAATGCCCCAGTCCATACCGAGCGGCCGCAGAATGCGCACAGCGCCGACGGACTCGCTTCCAAGCATGATGCCGACGTAGAAGGGCACCTCAACGAACATCGCTTTGGCACATCTTATCTTATCTTTTGTGGCTTGTTGCTCTCAGCCTTGCCAGGTTCAAGAGCTTCAGCTTTGATGCGCGGACATACGGGTGTACTCACATGGCTCAGGATTCGAATTAGGTCCCTCCCCCGATATCATCATGCCAGGGTGCGATTGCAGCCAGGTCAATCAAATTCAAAGTCGTCGAAGCCTGCGTTGGCGAATCGGTGCGGAATGTGACCGTAACACCATGAAACATTAACATTTCTGGTCGTTTGAGTCAAGCCGATCTTGGAACGCTTCGAGGACTGTTAACCAGAGGGGTTTGATTAGGCTTCTTTCTGAACGGCATACTGTCGGCATGAAATCTGACGATGATTGGGCAATTTGATCCTTGCATCGCAGGAGTTGAAAGGAAAAGCACGGGCTTAAAGGAAACTTATGAGGTGCAGTTTGGGGGTCGCAGACTCAATCCATCTCAACACTGAGGGCCCTGCGTAGCACGCTGCCCTGATGCAGCCTGGCACGCTTTAGAGCTTGGGAACAACCGCCTTTGGGACTTCTCAAGTTTCGGCTTTGGGGTTGAGGTTGCAGCCTGTACAAAGATCAATAGCGAGTTCCTTCCTTACCATCACTGCTCTTACTAACCAGTCTACCACTTTCATCCAAGCAGCCGCTTGAGCCAAATTTCGGCTCAGTACACGACGTACATATCCTCGGCACGACGAGTCGAATTCGACTCAATGCTCAGAGAAACAATATAGGGGGCCTTAATGATCAGAATACGGTTCCTCTAAAGGGTTCTTATAAAGGGTCTATAAGGGTTTAGTATAGGGCCTTAATAATTACAATGCGGTTATGGGGGTATATCACACTATCTAATTATACGAAGGAACCCCCAACATAGGGGCAAGGCTTCGGGTTTCGTCTTAAGTAGGACTTTGAGTCGTGGAGCTGAGGGTGTACGCAGCTGAGGGCTTAGCTCCGCAGCTCTTTACAGCTCCTCTCAAGAAGTGGCGCTTGAAGTCGGAATACTTTGACGACATGGGTTCCAGGGCCATGATGACATCTTCCGATAAGTTTGAAGCTACCGAAACATCAAACGAGGCAGGAACAGTTCGAGAAACAAAACCTACAGGAACAAAAACATCGGGGACCCGAACAAAAGGCTGGAACCTTTGCATCACAGCGCAGCAGCTGCTTTTCTTGACGCCTCATCGGCTCGGTAGCTATGGTCTGGAAATCTTCCCTCACCCTTGAAGTGTCTGCTTTTGTTCGCATGCTCAGGGCACCAACCTCGCTTTCTTTGTTCTGAACCTGCATGACACCCTGCAGACACTTTGCTCGGGAAACCTCCGCAGACCGTAGATATTCAAATCGCCCAGGATGGTGACACATGGGCACTGGAACTAAGGGACGTTCACAAATGAGGATCCCCCTCACCCCTGTCTTGCGCTGAACTCCCGCACGTTCAGAGCCTCACAAACTCGAAGCCCTCAGCTCCATGAGACAAGCCCAAAGCTCTGCCCGATCCTACTGTCGGACCGACTAGGGCTTCGCTTTACGAGCCGGAAAGAATCTCAAGGCATACTACGAAGGTCTGCGTCTGGTCGTCCACGGCTTTTCCGAAGTCCCAGTCGTCTTGTCCTCTCTTCGAACTCAGTTCTCTTGGAGAGTAGAGGGTGGAGAAGAGAAGAGGGTCTGGGGTAGCAGGAAGGGCACTAGAACGTTGGAGTTAAAATTTGAGATGGGCGGTGTCGGGGCTTGCAGTGAAGGGCACTTCCACCTGTTAAGATTAAATGTGCATCGCGTGCCAGTTGACAGCTGTAGCTTACCTTGTGCTTTGTCGAAGGAAAGCCTGAGTCGAGATATGGGACCATGATAGTAGGATCCCCATCATAAGGAATCCTGAGGCCCTGAGGTAAATGCGACGGAAAGCCCCAACATACAAAGGCAGTCCGGACGGTAGTCCACGAAAACCCTATCATTGGCTTGTGAGTGGGTTCAGGAGTTTAGGCTAAACTGCCAGACCCTCAACCCAAAGCCCCAAACCCTCATGCAAAGGCGGTCCGGGCGGTAGTCCGCAGATGTTCTTTTCGGAGAAGTCGTGAGAGACTGGGCCACGTGGCTTCAACTGCTTGGCCGCCTCTCGGACGAAAATCCAAGCTTATGAAAGAGGCTACCCTGAAGGCTGGGAGATTAAGGTTTGGGGCGTGGGTTTAAGGTCTAAGATGGTCTTCAGGCTGAGCGAATAATTATCGTTTAAGACTGTTTAGGTTGCTACTTCTAGCAGGTCTGTTCGGAAACAGATCCACGACTCCCCCTTCCCCCACCTTCTCGCTGCCCACCAAAAGCCGGAAGGTCACTACGGGCTTCGCCGCGGCGTCGGACTCTGCCATGCACCGCAGCTGAATGTTCCCTCGGCCACGGGACCTGCTGGTCAAAAGTGTGCCGGTGGTTTTCAGCATCGCCATCATGGTGAGCAAAGGAGATTGATTCGCAGGTCGTAGAAATAGTTGTGTACAGCAGCGGCAGTAGGCAGTGGGTGGGTGGTCGTGGTAAGGCAGAGTCGAGTAAATTAGAGCAGGGCAGGGTAGGGTAGAGTACAAAGAGGCGGAGCAGGAGGCAAAGGAGGAAGCGCAGGAGGAAGAGGATGAGCAGAAGGCTCGGCGGCAGCAGCTGCAGCCGCCGTAGCCGTTGTGGCAGTTGGGGTGATCACGATCGTCTTATGTAGCCACGCTAATTGGAAAGTAGAATCTTGCGATTCTCTGCATCGCTTCGCTTGCCACAAAAGCCATACATAGGTCCTGGATTCCCGAAGCCCTACACTGCGCAATGGACAGGGGAACAGACACAGGGACGCCAAAGACAGCAAGATAGATGGTGCAGAATGAGCGAAGGTATGGAAGGCTACCTGGGAGTTTCCGACAATAGGGGACCCTAATATAGTACCCTGAACAGTCGGATCCGTATTAATTATACGGCCACTCCCAATCTGGAGTCAAAAGAACATATTGGGGAAACTCACCCACTGCCAGACCCAAGCTGACGTTCAACTCTCAGATTTCCGCCTCCGGAAGGAAGCCCCACCTCGCTCTTGCGCCACCACGCGGGGGCGCAAGATCATCCTGAGGATTGCTATCACTGCTGTCATCCATTCAGGACTTGCTATGTGTATGTATATATATATATAACTTCAAAAATAATACCTTAATAAACGAAATATATATATATATATATATATATATATATATATATATAAATAATATATATACATATGTACATATGTATATATATATATATATACATAATATGCATATCTATAAACATAAACATGTAGTAGTTCGCGCGATTGGAGTAAAAGCCGAGAGTCTTGAAGGGAACCGGCTGTCCGCCGGCGAAGGTGAGGTCGAAGGGTGGCGAGACGGCCTCCAGGTCCCCCAGTAGTGGTTTTTGGGTTTCGGGTCTAGGGTTTAGGATTTAGGGGTTTAGGGTTTAGGATTTAGGGGTTTAGGGTTTAGGATTACCCTTTGTCCTGCTATTTGGTTGAAGGGTACTACTGGGAAACCTAGGCCTCCTTGTCGGTGCTCCGAAGCTTCCGGGCATCCACGGTCCAGCGGATGCGATAGACGTTGCTGCTCACGCTGAAGGCCCGCTGTAACACCTGTGCTCTGTTGTTGTCGGCAGTCGTTGTGACAGCAATGGAGGAGACGGAACCATCCAAGGCCGGGGGCATGCTGTCCATGGTCCCTGGAAATCGCGAGAAAGGGTCCATGGGAATGGCGAAGCAGCCGGGCATGCACATCTCTGGAGGAGGTACAGCCATTGCATAGCTTGGCATCACCTGAACGGGACATTACATCGTTCCCCGAGAGGCTTCAACGAGGGATTCGGGAATGGCGAGTAACTTGGGCACGCGGAGGCCTGCTGCTCAAACTTGGCCTAGCTGAACCTGGCCTTAAACCCCTTACTCTTGGGTGATGGCCTCTTGGGGGACGAACATCATTCCAACGGCGCCGGACATGACGGGGGTCTCCTCTGGAATGCTCTCGACGACTTTAGGATCTGTCGGAGCCTGTTCGGCTTCCTGGGATTCCATTCCCTGTTTGTACATCCAGTCCCAAGCATTTCCTGATTCCCAAGCATCGAAGGTCATGGTCTTGTAAATGGGATTGCTGAGCGCTTCTGCTTGTTCTGACTCCTCGGGATCTTCCTCTGGATCCTCTTCGGCACCCTCTTCTCCGTCATCGTACGCTGAAGCAGGCGCGGGTGTGGTGCTCGACCGCGGCAGGCCTGCACTGGCTTCGCTGTTATCCATCTCCTTAGTAGCCACCGCAACAGAAGCTACAAGACCTGCTGAAAGCTTCTAAATCCACAGCCCAACAGTGGCACCCCGGCGCCCAAACCATATATAACCCAAAGCCCAAAATCCCTAAACACCCAAACCCCCAAATCTTAATCGGCCCCCCCCCCCCCCCACCCAAATCCCTAAATCTTAAGTCGCCCCCCAAGTCTCCAGAAAGGTGTTCTTCACAAAGATCGCAGGGCCAGGGCCCAGGCTCCCCGGCATCTTCGCTGCCGCTGCCGCGGGCTCTGCTCCCGGGTAGCCGCCGGAACCCGAGGCCTTCGGGGCCCCTTAAAGGAACCTAGTAAACCCTAAACCCTAAATCCTAAACCCTAGACCCTAAACCCTAAACCCTATACCCTAAACCCCAAACCCTAAACCCCAAACCCTAAACCCTATACCCTAAACCGTTTAGGGTTTAGGGCTTAGGGGCCTAGAACCTCTTGAAGGAGCCCTTTACCAGAATCCTCAAATAAAGGAGCCCTCATAGGGGTTGGGTTTAGAGTGGCTGATAGAAGGCCCGAAGGAAAGAAACTCCACACCTACTCCTAACGATCCTAATTCCAGCAACTCTGCCTTTAGCATCTTTCTACCGTCCACGCTCAATCCTAACCTAATTACCAAACCCGCCTTCTGGATCCCCTTCAGTAGGCGCCGCCTCTCCAAAGGCTTCAGCGACAGAGCGTCGGCAAACTCCGGAAAAATGTCTGGCTCACATATCTCCTGTGTTTTGAAGCTGGCTATGAGGCCTATCATGAGGGCGACTGTAGAGGCTGCTGCAGGGTTGATGTACGGCTCACACTTTGGGCTGCCATAAGGCCTACTTTGAAGGTAACCATGAGGGGAACTAAGGGCTCACTATTCGGCTTGGTTCTCCTTTGAACTTGAGTGGGTTAAAAAAACACCTGAGAGCCCTAAACATCTTAATATAGGGGCCTTCATAAATAGAATAGGGTTTTGGAGCCCATTATGCTATAATCATAGTAAGGAGCCCCCCAAAATGGTATTGATACTCACTTAGGCCCCTACAGTAAACATCTAAATTTGTAGTTCTCTAAATTAGGATCCCTGTTCAGGTCCCCAATATAGTAGGGCACCCTTAGAAATCGGACCCTGAAAAGGATCCTAACTTAGAAAACTACCCAAATCCTACAGATCCCTTTTAGATCCCTTTAAGGAACCCTTAAGGATCCTCTTGAGGCCCCTATAGTCAACATCTAAATCCTGAAGCTTGGGTCCTGCAGGCCCCTGGGGCGCATTATACTATAGACTATTATAATAAGGAAGCCTTATAGTAGTCCTTATAGGCCCCTTTACAGGAACCGTATTCTTATTAAACATCTAAATCCTCAAGCTTGGGTCCTCCAGGTCCCGAGGGCCCATCTGCTCGCACCACTCGGCGGCGGCCTTCACGCAACGCTCGAGACCCGCCGCCTGGCCGAGCAGAGAGGGCTTCGGGGTTTAGGGTTTTAGGGTTTTCGGGGCACACCTCTGAAAATCTCCCCAAGACACTGCCTACCCCGATGCCGCAGGACACCTGCCGAAAACACGACACACTCTGAACCCCGAGCCCGAGAACCATCCAAAGTACCCTTCTAGAACCCTAATTCTTTCCACCCTGAAGAACCCCCAGAAACCCAAAGTGAACCACCCGAAACAAAATCTGCAGAAGGCGTTTCCTGCAGTTCCTCGTCCAGCCCGGGCACCGACATCGCTACGGCCGGAGGCTCCGAAGAGGGCGCACTTCTACGCCGTTGGCACCAGGGGGCGTGAGCAGGCTGGGCTCAAGATGAGGGCGACTCTAAAGGGGACTATAAGGGGTCTATAAGGTAGTATAAAGGGGGACTATGAGGTACTATAACGGGGGACAGTAATGTGCTATAAAGGGGGTGAGGATGCATGCTTCGAAGCACGTGAATGACTACTCTCTGATTGTTGCATATGCGAAAGCTCGTCTACTGCCTGTTGCCCACTCCAAACACAACAACTAGAATCCGTTGTGCACGAGTGCTCTTCAATAATCATAGCCAAAGCGGAGTTGCAGCAAGAATGGTAATCTTCCTGAGTCGGTTTCATACCATCTTCAAGCCCAAATCCTGCGAACGATCAGGTATCACATGCCTCTTGTGGACGGCAGCGACACATGTGGGTCACAGACTTCAGATTTGTAGGGTGCGGGTGTGCGGTTGAAGGATCGTATCGACGAGCGCTTACCACAGCAATATCAACATCAGTACCAACAGCAGAGGCCTGAAGCCCGTAAACAAGTCCTCACTGAAACCTTCTACTCTATGCCGTCCGGATGGTGCCGAAAGTTGCTTGAGGGCCGAGGCGCCGTACCAGATATTCGATCGTGAAAACGGCTATGCAAACTGCCTGGCCAACGCGAGCACCCGTGAGAGGCTCAGATCAGGCTGATTGACCTACTTCAGGCAAAAGCTCTGAAGCCGCAGAAACCAAACTCCACGAAAAGGGCTCCACGAGGTATCATAAGGGCCCCTTCCCGGTACTCTGCGGGTTACTCCATTGTTAATAAGGAGGGTTACTTGCTACTATATAAGCTATGATAAGATGCATCGTCAGGGTGCTCTTAAAAGCAATCTGAACCCTAAACTCTCCAAGCCCTATAAACTCTAAGCCCTCAACTTTCAAACCCTAGAACCCTAGAACCTGGACCCTGAGCCTTAAGTCCTAAAGCCTAAAACTTTCAAAAGGAACCCTGTTGACCTTAAATACTCAACCCTTAAGTCCTAAATACTCAGCCCCTAAGTCCTAAAAATGAAAAAAAACTGACAATCTCTTTAATACTCAATCCTTAACCCCGCCCAGGACCCAAGGCTTTCCGCCCCCTGCACTCCGCGCCTCGATAGGGCCAAAGAAAGCCATAGGAACCTCACCGTACTGAGAGTGAAAGGAAGATGCCAGCACAACGACAAGGAAGTGTGGGGTTGTGGGGCCGCAGACTTGAGGAAGCTGGTAGCAGCGGCAATAACGGGAGTTATTGACAAGAGCCCTAATGCTGCTCTTATCACAATAGCTCTCATAATGTTCGTGCGACGAACAGCACAGAATAAGGTGGTGCATCACACTTCGAATCTGGAACTCTACATCCGGAAGCCTGAAACTTGAACCCTCACGAAAGCTGGATTCCAAAGGTCGGCAGATGTATGTTGGCCGTGTCAAGATCCCAATTTCACATTCAAAGGCTGCCGCACCATGAGTTATGATACCCGGTTTACCATGGTTTCGGGTTCAGGGGTTTCGGGTTCGGGGTTCAGTAGCATGACACGATCCCGACAAGATACCGAGCATCGAAACCCGCCCTTTGTCCGGCGGCCACCTTACAAGAAGCCTTCCCCCGCCTAGGCTCCGCGCATAAATAAGCCAGCAAGGCGCCTGTGATCTATGTTAGGATCCTGTGCTTATCGAATCTTGCTTGCCTTACCATGGGACCCTTCATATCATATGCCCCCTTATGGGCCATTATAGGGGCTGTAGCTATGTCTGAAAATGCACTAAGGACTCCCGACCCAAGAAAGGCTGTGGCCCCGACCGGCTCGCAGGCCTTCGGAGATGGTGCAAGCACGGCTTTTAGGGTCTAGGATTTAGGGCTCGGGGTTCAGAGTGGGCTTTTAGGGCCTTGGGGCTGGCTTTTCAATCCCTTGACCAAAGCTCTAGCACCAGAAACACTGATTTATGATGTGGTGTTCCTCGTATGATGTCATGATAGGTCCTCTTCGGAGGGCTTTCCCGCTGCGTGGAGTGCTTAGTTAGTTTTGCACAGGATCGGTCTGAGGCAGTACCTGAGCATCAATGGAAAACACATTCGAGAGTTTCCGAAAATGGGGGACCCCAATACAGTACCCTAAATAGTAGGATCCTTCTTATACGCTCCCCAAAAACAAGGTACCCCTATTTTCGGAAACTCACATACAGGGGCACACGCTATGAGAAGAAGACTCTTGTCCACACATCAGAACACAACATACCCTGTCGGTGCTTCACCAAGACATTGTTTCTAGGTTTGTTCAACCGAAGCCGCAGATCCTGAACTTGAAAACATGATCGAACATTTTGCTGAACCCCACGGTAAATCTTCAAATCTGCACCCTCCGAACGTCTCACCTCTGCTGTGAGTGGCTCGCCAGCGGCGAGCAGCTGCTGACCTTGCAGGCACGAGGAGCCCCCGAAACCCGACAAGCCGGGCTCAGGGTTTCCTGGAACCCTTGAGTGGTAATGCTGCTGAGGTCTCAAAGGGTGGGGAGTTGTCAGGAATCCCGAATCCAAGCCCGAAAACCGCCTGAGAGCATGAATTTTCAACCCCCCAAGACCAAAACATGAAGCCATTAGTTGAACCAGAGGACACTTCGGTGACCTTTCCTGGAATTCTGGCATCGACTCCATGACGAAGGTCACAGTGCCTTGGGCTTCGCCGGATGATAGTTGGAGGTTCTTGGGTAGTTAAAGGTGGGTAACCCATATTAGGGGACTTATAACACGACTTATAACTACCCATGAACCTCCAAGTATTGGGATGGAGTCAGCTTCAGGGGATTACAGCTTCGGGTGACCGCACAAGGTGTACAGCTTACCAGCCTTCAGTTTTGAGCTCGAGCATGGCTACAAATTAACTGCTTAGTGCTGCTACTGTTGATGTGCGGATACTGCTGACATCATCAATGGGCAGCCGTGGCATCGGCATTGGCTGCGGGAGCGGAGCAGGACCACCACCAGCAGGACGATTGGCAGCAGAAGCAGAAGCAGAAGCAGAAGCAGAAGCAGAAGCAGTAGGAGTAGCAGTAGCAGTAGCAGTAGCAGTAGCAGTAGTGGTAGTAGTAGTAGTAGTAGTAGTAGTAGTAGTAGTAGTAGTAGTAGTAGTAGTAGTAGTAGTAGTAGTAGTAGTAGTAGTAGTAGGAGTAGTAGTAGTAGTAGTAGTAGTAGTAGTAGTAGTAGTAGTAGTAGTAGTAGTAGTAGTAGTAGTAGTAGTAGTAGCAGTAGCAGTAGTAGTAGTAGTAGTAGTAGTAGTAGTAGTAGTAGTAGTAGTAGTAGTAGTACTACCAGCAGCAGGGGTAGTAGTAGTAGTAGTAGTAGTAGTAGTAGTAGTAGTAGTAGTAGTAGTAGTAGTAGTAGTAGTAGTAGTAGTAGTAGTAGTAGTAGTATTAGTAGTAGTGGTAGTAGTGGTAGTAGTAGTAGTAGTAGTAGTCGTAGTCGTAGTCGTAGTAGTAGTAGTAGTAGCAGCAGTTGTAGGAGTAGTAGGAGTAGTAGGAGTAGTAGAGTAGTAGTAGTAGTAGTAGTAGTAGTAGTAGTAGTAGTAGTAGTAGTAGTAGTAGTAGTAGTAGTAGTAGTACGTTTGGCCTTCAGTTATGTGCAAAGTAACTTTCGATGTTCAGGGTTCGCCCAGTTCAAAGTTCGGTCTTGCCGGTTGCTTTTATGAATACTTCCTCTTTCAGGCACTCTTGGGAAGAATTCGACTATAAACTACAGCCTGAGAGCATGTACAGATGTGTTGAGTTTCAGAGGGGCATTCTGTTTCTCCACATCAGCCACAACAGGGTTCCCTGAGGTGTATACTTCAGACTTGGATCCGTTTGCAGTGGCCCTAGCCTTAGTCAGAAGGACCCTGATCTGCAAGAAGGAGGCTGATAATGATCGTGGTGACCATCATGGCCGAAATCAATGTCCCCACCACATATTTCCTTGGCTTTCAGCACGAAGGCTTGTGGGCTTGGCAATTTTAGCGATTAGGGTTATGGGTTTAGCGGGCTTAGACGTTCAGGGGTTCTTGGGTATTCCAATTCTCAGAGCAGCTGTCCCTACTCTCTGTAGGTTTAGAGTGTAGGGCCTGCGAGGAGAGGCCACTGCCAAGACAGCGAATTGAAGATCGGGTTCCGAGGGCAGCCAAGCTTCTCCGAGTTTTCGAACCTTGCACCGGCAAGTTGGTAGGAGAGCTGCAGGGTTTGGGGCTTTTTCGGTCTTGGACGATAGCGAGATGTCAGCTATCCACTTGTTGTTGGCACAGCTTTCAGGGCTGCCGTAGACTCTGCGACCCCAGTGGTTCAGGGCTTCGGGGACACACGTTCAATCCACAGCCACAGGCAGGGACCGCCAAATCTGAGAGCCCGGCAATAAAAACGTTCGTCGGAAAATGCTGCCTTCATCCTGTCGGTAAGGCACGCTGTGCCAGCAGGTATGTAACTAGCCCAAACCCGACGACGAAGCAAATTGCAGGAATTGCAAAACATTTCTGAAGGCCACAGGTTTTCGATAGACAAGGCCGAGAAAAGTCATTCAGAATGCCTCCAACCAACCGCCCCACACTGTTATTGGGCTGCAGTTGTCTCGAAGACTTTGGCCTCCTTAACCATAGGATTAAGTCCTTATTATAGGTATTTCGACGCCCCACGCCCTCCCCACAAGGATCCCTATGATTCATGATTAAAGAAAGCCCCGGACGCAGAGCTGGTAACCGCGAACAACTACCTGGCATTGAGGCCTCGTTTTCTTTGACTTATAAGTGGGGTTATAAGTCCCCTAATATGGGTTATAACCATAGTTACCCTACTTATAACCCCACTTATAACTGCCCATGAACCTCCAACTAAGAGTCTTGAGTCTTGAGCCCGAGGCGCATGGGAGCCCAATGATTCGGATAAGGCTTGGGGGTTAATATCGTCTCCCATCGTGTGTTCGACATGCTGTTATCGAGATTTCCGGGAGAACTGACTAGTCTTCCTTGAGGCCTCCGAACTGGGATTGTCACCGGCCATGTCTTTGGGCTGGCGGGCACGGTCGATCGGATGATGGTGGTGATCATCGAAGCGCCCTTGTTGCAACGGCCGGCCTCCATCGGGATATAGTGCGACATCTGTGGTCGAAGCTCGGGGACCTGGCTGAGCCCAACTTCCGAAGCCCTCAGCGATAAAAATTATGAGGACGACCAAGAGGAGCCATTGATATAGGGGCCTTAATAAGTAAAATGGGGTTTTGGGGCCCATTATACTATAATTAGAATAAGGTCCCTAAATTAGGAGAAGCATGGCAGAATGACAAGAAATACAATATTTCCTGTAACCACATAGTAGCTGCTTAGTAGCTTCCCTAGCTGGCTGGATGTAAATCACCAAACGACCTGCGCTTCACAAGCGCGCTCCATTTGTACGAAGGGCATGGAGCAGCAGCAGAAGTAAGTAAGTAATAGGAGTCTCAACATCGCCATCATCATGCTCGGATTCATCTCCACCCTGAAACCACCATCCTTGTCCTAACTGCGATAAGAATAACCATCCTCACCTTCACCATCACTCTGGTGACCATCATCGTAGGGTCAGTAGTCTTCTTACGTTGATCATGAACCACCACCACCACCAGCAGCAAGCACCAACAAGCTTCTTCAAGCTGGCCTCCGCATCGCTTTTTCGTCGCCCCTGCCGACAGAGAGCGCTGTACTGGGTCTAGGGGGGTTTAGGGTGCACGAGATCCCGGATTTACACTCTGCCCTCACAGCCCAGTAGGACCTATAGGAGAAGCCGGCAACAATTCCCTGGCACCAGCCCACCTCTTGCATCGTCACTCAAGCACAAAGCCCATACCGGCAGCCTTAACAGAACAGCCTAACGACCGAAACCTGCAGAGTCCAGGGGTTGACCTACATGGCATGGAAAACATCCGAACCGCACCAAGAAGCAATTCACAGAAAGCAAGTTTCATGCAAGGCTATTACGATGGAATGAGGCCAACACTACCCTCCAGTAGCGAAGCCCAGACTAGCCGAAACTAGGCAATTGAGACACATTGCTATCCTGACCAGTGTAAAGACGATCGCCATGACTGCCATTGACATCCTGGCTTGCGATCTACATCGCGACTGTCCTGACTGCATCAGTATCTGCCATTGGTTGCATTGCTGCTCAGTGCTGCTACTACTAGCACCACCATCGCCACTTGCTGCTAGTCTCGGAGCAGTGCCTCGCGTCGCTTTTCCGCCAACTGCTTCTGCAGGCGGTCTCTGGCCTCACGGTCCGACTGAAAAAAGCTTTCCACTGAAGGGCTCTGCGACTACGCATTTAGGTTTGGTTTTTGTGTTGAGCCCTGTTTTCCTTCAGCGGCTGGCGTCTGGAGTACAGCTTTAGGGTTTAGGGTCTAGGGCAGGACTGAAAGGTGCACCTATAGTCTGGACCGAACTGTAGAAGTTTACCTGGTCGAGGCATGTATCACACAGGCTAAACATTCTGTGATGCATTTCCTGCATAGCTCCTGCAGCAAGAACTTACGCCGATCGAGCGATGATCTACACGAGCTTTTTACTTCAGAGTTGGGCCTGCAAGGCTCGCTTGAGTTCGGGGACGAGGGTTCAGAGTTGTCGGATGCATTGCAAACTTGGGTTGTAAATTCCTATTCAGAGCCGAGACTCTCTCTCTAGACCTAAGAGTAACCTAGGAATACAAAGGCAGGGGGTTACAAGGGGACCGAAACCTCAAAAAGGGAATGAATAAGGGCTTTCTCTGGGTCCCAGCTCTTCAAAGGGGTCGAGGCGATGGTTCCACCGACTTGAAAGCCGATGGATCCGAGCTTTGCCAAGGACGAGGACGACGGCTGATACTAGTACTAACACGAGATACTCATAACCAAAGTAACTAGAATTCAGAATGCCATACTGTCGATCAAAGTGAAAATCAGCTCACGAGAAGCCTTGTCCCATCGGGCATCCTTCCGATGAGCCCACTGCGCCAGACCTCGGAAATCGCAGATCAAGGGCTACTTGGAGTTCATGGGTAGCTATACGTAGATACAGCTTCCCTGACATGGGCTGTAATCATGGGTACTGTATGCTTGTAACCCCCCCTTTAACTACAGCAACAGCTACAGCAACGGCAACAGCAAGCTGCTGCTGCTGGTACTACTACTACTACTACTACTACTACTACTACTACTACTACTACTACTACTACTACTACTACTACTACTACTACGTGTACTATACTACTACGACTAGCCATGCTGCTGCTCCTACGACGACTACTACTACTTCTTCTACTGCTAGGTACTACTTGTACTACTGCTACGACAACGACTGCCACGGACCTGTCGCCTGAACAAGAATAGCAGCAAGAGCAGTGAGCTCAGTTGGCACAAGGCCGCCACTCTGAGACTGCACGCGGCAAAAGCCTTGCGCTGACCTGGCGATGGCTTCTCTGATTGAGCAAGGTGCTTCAGATCTTTGGTGTAACTAGCATTGTTGAGCTTGCACTCAGTGTGTGCTTCATCACCATCTCTGACTGGTTTTGGGGGGATTGAGGTCGGAAGAGGCATCGCAGTGGTCAGAAAGCTTGAACCCCACCCTCAACCCTGGACTTAGATTCGAAATCCTGAACCCTGAAAGGGTTTGGTTATGTCTTTAAAGAAGTTCAGATGGGAGCCGGAGTTTCGGGTTCGGACTTCGGGGCTTAAACACCCATTCGACAGAGCTGGCATATGCGTTTCCAGGCTGAAATCCTCAACCGATGTGCATTTTCATGAGAAACAAACGTAGGCGATTACTGCACATAGCACCAATAATAGTAACAAGACTGGTCCTGTAAATAATAACTGTTATTAAATAACAACAATAAACGGTATGCAGGATGCCCCGCAATCGGCTGCAAATGTGTTCGCTGAAGTTGAGACAAGCAGCTTGCAGCTTCCGGCCGCCTGCGTTGGATGCGCAAGGACATTCGAAGAGTTTGCTTGCATGCACACATGACATGGAAGAGGCGTTTACCAATCTAATTAATCTCAGTGCTTAGGAAACGAAGCGCATCCAATGATGTGACCCGCTTCGTCTGAGGTGTATTTCTGCGGGTTGCCTCGTTGATGTCATCGATATCCTGCAAGTGCAGGTCATCCGTGCCATGCCTGCCAGACAGGACCACACTTTCGAGCATGGCAGCCTAGCATCACCGCCCAGAACCCAGAACTGTGCGGGATGATTACGAGTTGAGAATATCATCCTTCGTGACCATCTTGTCCCTTCGTCCACGTTACTATTTCTATTGCCAGGCGGGTCATTTGTACTATTGGCATTCTTATTATCATGACAATTTCTACTAACACTCTGACATTGAGATAATAATGAAAGTAAGAACGAATTCCACCATTACTATTGTTATTACAATGAAAAATCTTTCCTATAATTGCTGCTCCTGCTACTCGTACCATTGCTACTGCTACTGCTAGTAGTACTCTGCTACTACCACCTGTTCTCCTCCTACTCCTTCTCCTACTCCTACTCTTACTCCTACAACTGCTACTACTCCTGCTGCTTCTACCTCTACTTCTATTTCTACTTCTACTACGTCTACTACGACTACTGCTTTTCCATCAGCATAATTATCTTTTCTTGTTCTGCCCAGCTCTGCCATCAGATTACTACCCGTGCCTGGTGTCCGCATCCGGCGTGCCCGGCCCTCCGGGCAGGATGGCCATCGGTTCCTAAGGGCGGACTTTGGTTCAAAGTGGGGCGGTTTGGAGTGTCGGGTTCGATGAAGCGATGCCACTTCTGACAGACTTCGAGATCACTAGGAGAGCCTCAAGTTACTGTCTACTGCACTGTAATTGCAGAAGGGACTTGATCGGAGCATGTTTCGTGGGCCGAAACCCTGAGGCTTCCGTTCACAAACTTCGAGGTGGTCGGAAGAGCTGCCAGGATGCGGCTTGTGTACATATCAGTAAACGACGAGACGAGGACGACGATCATGCGAATGTCTACATGCCCTGACCACTGTATGTCATGAGGAGCTCTTCGTGTGATGACGCCAGTTGAAAGGCTCCCTCAAGTCTGTCTCTCCCTCTCCCTCCCTTCCTCTCTCTCTCTCTGTCTTTCTTCTTCCTCGGCCTCATGTCCCTCAAGCCGAAAGACTGAATTCGGGAGCGCAAGCCCCAAAAGCGAGAAACAAACCAGAGATCAAACTCCAAATCAGGCTTAGTAAACGTCTGCCCTGATTCCCATAAATCCCCAAAACCCGATGCAAACTCTGGGATTTCTCACCTTCGCGGCCGGCTCGGTCTCTGCGCTCGAGCCGCCCCGAGGCCTCAGCTACTAAGCTTCTACTTTCAGCTTCATGGCTAGTTAGAAGTGGAGCCATAAGTCCCCTAATATGGTTTACGAGTATAGTTCCTTACCCTACTTGTAACCCTACTTATAACTACCCATGAACCCCCAAGTAGGTTTAAGGTGAAACCCTGAAAGGACTTGAAGGAATGTGTGTCTTAGGGCTTTCGCTGTTCGGTTCCTGCGGGGCTTCGGTGCTAGGGGGGTTTGAGGGTCTAGGGCTTGGTGTTTAGGGCATAAAGCCTCGGGTAAAAAGCTTCCGGCTCAAGGTTTACGGCTTCAGGTCAGGGCTTAGGGATTCGGCTCCGGGCTTCGGGTAAGATCTGGGGTTTAGGAAATCGGGCATCGGGGGCATCGCCTCTTTTCCACAGCCTCTACGACGCCGCGAGGATGCAGGACGGCTTCGTGTGGCCCTTGGCCCACTCACCCATGAAGCTCTTGCGGCGAAGGTAGTATCCTGACAGCATGACCCAGAGACTGCAAAATCCCTCAATAAAGGAACATGCCCAAAATCGTATCAGGGTTCCTACGATGTTTTAAAGGGGTATTCCTCAATTAAGAGGTTTTGGAGTCTCTGGGAAGTTGACAGGGTGTGTTGACTCGTCCACCCTGCCATCCCAGACTTTACCCTCCTACCGACTGCCGGACTCCTTCGTCTCACAATGACCACTTGGATTTTTATGGGTAGCTATAAGTGGGGATATAATATGGGTTATAAGCATAGCTACCCTACTTATAACCCCACTTACAACTACTCATAAACCTCTAAGCAAGCCCATCCGGGCAGCTTTCTTTAAGTTCTCTTACATTGAGGGCAACTTGCCCAAACCAGCGACTTCCAGGCGCGTGGACCGAAAAAAATTGAATTGTGCCAAGCAGCGTGCAAGTTGCTGTGGCCTGTGCTTCTCACCCTCCTTAGTACAATCTGTCGCATAGATATATGTATTATGCGTATGTCGGTCTGTGCATGCATGCACGAACGCACTCACGCATGCATACATATCGATTGCTTGTGTCTTTGTTATTTGTTCGTCGGATTATGCCGTGGTACAAGTTTTTATATGTGCATATTGATTGGGTGTCTCAGTGCGTCCTCATAAAAAATCTGCAAAAGCACAACCGCGTCTAAACTGTTCTATACAAATGTATATTAGAATCTACTTATTCTTAAACACAAGCGAAGACTACACACATGTCGTCACACATCCAGGTATTTTGTCACATCCTTAGAAGGACAGCGCACACCGTAAGTTGCTTAGGAATCGCCTTGAAGCTTTCATCCTTCAGCATCCAAGGTGCCCAAGTTTTGAACGACTCTGAACCCGGGCTGCGAACCCTACCGTTCATCCGAGCAGCAAGGATGATCGATGTTACAGCGTAGCCCACCTGGTGCAGCAGGGACCGGGATTGCACGGGCTTACCCTAACCCCCAGCACAAACGTCAGAACACCTAAGTTTCCGATACCCGCCCGTGCTGCAAAGCCGTGTTGAGAATATCACGAAAAAACCCTTCGCAACAAGCAGGTGCATCTGACATCACAGAACCTGACATCACTCCAACTTTCTCCGCCTAGGTGCCTCCTGGGAGGCGTCCTCCACCTCGTTTCGGAAGGTCTCCTCTTCAAAGGTCTCCTGTGGCATAGGCAGGTTTTTAGGTCGTGGTATGTGCAATCCATCTTTGCTCATGTCGGACTGCTGGGTACCGTATTGTCGGAACCTTGGGCCTTTATTAGGGTTCCTTATATGAATCCGACTATTTTGGGGTTATAGGCCCATGGTTTCTTAATCCGCTTCCTACATTACACGAATCTCTTGAAACTCCGAAGACGGCCGATGAAGCCGGGGTCGAATTCTGTCTTGTGCTTATACAACACGACTGATGTAGTTGGTGGCAGGTTCTTCTGCTGGCAATCCTGACAACGCGCATGCGAAGCGGGTCCTTGTTCATCGCTGCTACAGTGATGACGTTCTCCTCGGCTCTCGTGTCACTTGCTTTCCAACTATCTCACGCTCAACCCGACCGAAAAAGCCTCAGAGGGAAGTTCTACGAAAAGTGCCGTGCAGCCCCGCCGTCCTATCGGCCTGAGGACGCTGCCAACTTTTGATGAAGGAGCTTTTCGGGCAAAACACCTACAGAAACAAAACCCTTCACCAAATCGCTGCAGCGGACTTTACATCTCGCATTTTGATCAAAACTAAAATGCTTAGTATGACGGCAGTTCAGGTGAAACGAAAAACAACACATCGAACCCGATTGTCGCTTCTTTCACGTGGCGGCTTCACGGGCTTTCGTCATCAAGGGATCGGTTCAGGGTTTAGGATTTAGGGGTTTAGGGTTAAGGGTTAAGGGGTTTAGGGTATAGGGGTTTAGGGTTCAGGGGTTTAGGTTCAGTTCAGGGGTTTAGGCTTTAGGGATCTTGAGGATTTAGGGGTTTAGGGCTTAGGGCGATAATAATATTTCGATGGGCGAAACTAGGCAAGAACAAGAACTTTCACACTGTGCACTCCACGTGAGATAAACGTTTGCATGTACGTAGTTAGTGTGAGTTTATGTGCACCAACCCTTGCGGTTCTCACTGTGGGCGTAAAAGTAGCGAGGCAAACGACGCGGTGTTCACCGTATCTCAAACTCGTATGATTACAGGAAGACGGAAACACGACTGCACACTCTGAGTCGAAAACCCGATGTGAAAAGCCGAAACCCCTGAAAGCTGTAAAGCCACAAAACCATAAAACGTGCCCGGATCCCATGTCAGACAGGATGCGGAGAGAGGACCACCCTCGCGCACCACAAACTCACCTGAGTAGAGCACGTTCACTCCCCGAATGTTTGCAGCGCCACTCTCCGCAAATTCTTGCGAGCCCTTGAAGGCTTGTCCTTCCTTCGCTTTGCTGCTGAACATCAGCCTTCTGAGATCCCCAGTATGTTGGCTTTGAAAGCAACACGGCAAGCAAACATCTGCATGTATGAGCATGTATACATACATCTGGAATATGTACCACGGCTGAGAAGGGCTGCAGAGTTGCATCTCATAACCGCCAGGTGACAGGTCTCCACGTCACAGACACCGGTCGTCACATGCAAGTTGAGGATGGTCATGCCGCAGGCGTGAAGGACCTACCAAGGGTTCAGGGTCTACAGGGACAATCTAATCAAGGCAGGATAGACGAAACGATGTGTCGTTACATCATGTGTCGTTAAACCGAGCAAGTCGATGGGAGCCCATGACAGACCTGGCTCGCGGCAAACGCTACGAGTTCTCTGTAGTAGGGGCGTTCAGCATATACTCGTTGATGCTGAAGGATTTCCCGCATGACCTGTCTAAGAACTGTGTTGACGAAGACCTTTGCTGCTTCTCGAAGTGCGAAAAGTATGTCAGGGCCAGTCTCGTGGATTTGGGAGCTTCACCCGCTTGCTAGAGAAAGCACGTCTCAGCCTCTGGGAATACAGCATCGAGGCCACATGTACTTGAAATGCAAATCTTCCTATGGAAAATGGTCATGACTCATGACGGTGACGATGGTGATGGTGACGACGGCAACGACAGAAATTTATCAGGATTCCCCCTTGATGATGATGCATGATGGTGGTGGTGGTGGTGGTGGTGGTGGTGGTGGTGGTGGTGGTGGTGGTGGTGGTGGTGGTGGTGGTGGTGGTGGTAGTGACGGTGTAGGAGAAGATTTGAGGATGATGACAATGCTGGTGGTGGGTGGGTGGGGGTGATGAGTAGTTGTGCTTCCCTGATCAATGCGAAATGCCGTTGTCAGTATATGCTCGTGCTGTGCTGTGGCACGACTGTTTTCACCGTTGCAAACAGATCGCCACTAGACATCATCTACAACCGCGGCCTCCGAGATTTTGGCGAGCTGACCAACCTGCAACATCTGCAAAACTGATTGCAAAATTCAATGGCAGACATGATAGGTCTTCTATTGAAATCAGAGATGCTGCGTAGATTCCCACGTGTGACAGAACACTGGGAACTCATTGGGCAACTGTTGGGAACTAGTTATGTGGCCGATTGACAAGGGTCGGGGCAAGCACAACGACCGACAGATTCGGTCCTTACACTGCCAGGGCTACAGAGCCGCCGATCAGAGTGATGATACGCAGAAGGGGAAAACATCGCAATATGTGTTGGGGTGTAGGCTTCTTGGATCACAGCAGACACAGACATGACTACTGAATAGAAAAGCAACAAGGACGGTACCAATATAAAGAACGCTAAGGAACCATTAAGCACTCATGAGGGAAGAATGACGGGCTTAAAGCTGCCACCGCACTCGCAGACTATCTACTTCTGCAAGATTTCCTTCTCCTGTTTTCTCAGGAATAGACACGAAACTTCTCAAGACCAGACACTTAACCACGACATCCGAAGCCTCACAGGCCGTGTAAGTATACCAGATGCATATATACGAAGGGCTGAGCACAGCAAACCGCCCCGAAGTACTACCGCCATTCATTATCAGTGATCGGTGTGATGGTTCTTGTTAGTGCGATCAACGTTGCCACCTTCCTAAAGCCCAATCATCAATCATTAGGTAGTCGAGTAGTCCGAATCCCTTCACTGTCGTTGCTTGTTACCTATAACCCCCTTAGAACCATAATAAAACGAGTATTATATTGGAAGACGACTACCCTGGTGCCCTAGTACTCTAGTATCCCAACACGGAGACTACAGTTACCTCCATTCCGCAGAAAGCCTTCAATATTAGTATTAGTATTACTGCTGTTATTAATATTAGTACTAGTATAAGTAACAGTATTGATATTAGTAGTAGTACTACTATTAGTATTAATATTAGTATTAGTACAAGTAATAGTATTGATATTAGTCTTAAATGGGGGTCACCACGGCCTGGTCCATCCCAAAGAGGCGAAGGGTCCCCGAGATTCGGGTGGCCTCAGACTTTAGGCAGCAGAAGGCTCGGCGGACAGTGCTGCACGATTTACAATCATAAAGAAGTTCTAAAGAAGCCATATCAATACATATAAAATATATACATATATATATATATGTATATATATATATATATATATATATCATTATATATTAGTTGCTATGGATCCCTGGTATGGTAACTTAAGTTCCGGAACAAGAACCCAGTCTGGTGCCATAAGATCGTATCAGGGTGGATCCTGGGGTTCTGGCTGATGGCAAATCAAGGAGCTGGGGAACTTAGAGGTTTAGGGTTTAGGATCCACGGGCCTTAGCTTTCAAACGGAGTGATCGTGCAGCAGCAAAATGTGTCCAGTTCCACTGCTTGCGCTTCGGAATTCAGCTTGAACGGCCTGCTCTTGAATCTCCAGGGATCGCCAGTTCCTATCTACGATACGGCCGGAGTTTCTGCGGTCAATCGTACAGCTGTTGTGGTCGCACCTACTACCCTTGGCATTGGTATTCATATCCACAGGCTTGTTCTTCCGCTGGTGGACTTACAACAACCGCTTCGAGGCACTTACCCTAAGTTGCGCCGACCGTCTTGCTCGGATGCAGCGCAAACGCAACCTTCAAGTGCAGGGCTTAGGGCCGCCGTCGGATTCAGAAAACTGAACCCGAATCGCGAAGGCCGTAAACCCTCGCCCCAAACCTCCATCTCAAATGCCAAACTCCTGTGTCTAGCGCGTGTAGGCCCCCTGCTGTCGTCTTTCTCTCGGCTACGGCTCCTCCGGCTGTGACCTGAGAAAGTCTGGCACACTTGTTCAGAAATGAGGTTTCGATGCGGTTGCGAGTACTGTAATGCTTTGGGCCGTAAATTCCTCGGGAAGCTTCGTTAGTTTACGAACCCGAGCATTTCTTGTGCTACTGACTGTTACTGTGAAGGATTGAATGTGAATTTTTGTCGCTAGTACTTTCATCCAGGCTTGTCGTGCTGCATCTGCCATGGTTTTGGTAGATGATGATGGTGACGACGTTGACGATACTGATCGTGTTCGACGAAATTGGTGCCATGTTGGCGAGGACACTCAAGAGGCAGGAAACTGGAGCACAATGGTGATGAGCGGCATTGTCCCGCAAGCCTCCATGTCTAACAGTAAATCTGAATCTGCGCTTAGACTCTTAATGGGGAAGTACCAATGCATTCGGAATGGTCGCCAACATGCCTGGAGCCAATGCCGCTGCGCAGCTGTGCACACCAATCCCGGGAAACGAGTGTGGAAGAGGTCCGACATCTTGGCCAGGTTGTCCTCCAGCCGTTTTGAAGAACAGCTTGGCTCAAAGCAATGGGGCCTTCGGATGTGCAGTTGACGTGTTAGTTGCGAACCTCTTCACTACTTGGGGGGTTTCGGACTTGCAACGTTCATGCCTTGCATTATCACCAGTCGTACTATCGACCGGATGCAGCACCAGAACTACGCAGAAACGAAAACCAAGAGATCAATGCAAAACCGCAACCTCGACAAGTTCCCAGGGGCCTCTCGCACAACGGCTTTGAGCAGAAATGCAACAGCCAATTCGTCGCCTCGGGCACAGATGGTGCAGCTGACGTGACTAGCGTTAGCATTGGCAGAACAAGCTGCAGCAGCAGCAGTAGCAGTGGCAGGAGGAGGACGAGCAAAGGGAGGCCATCAGGCAGGCCCAGTCTGATGTGCGACACGTGGGGCCTGTCAGAAGCCACTCTTGGCTCCTGGCTGGGTGCTGTCGTCTGCTCGGTTCGCTGCAAACTGGGAGAGAACGGAGCCTCAAAAATCAGGCGACGGCGTGCGGAGTCCGCTGATTGTCATTCTGCCGGGATCCGGCAGATATTCCAGGAAGAGATTTAGGATTAGGGGTTGAGAAGTTTGATGGTCAGGGGCTTGATCAAGCATGAACACTGACCTGATCTTCAAAGCCCAGGGTCAGAAGAAAAACGACAGTGCTAAGCTCGGAACCGGACTGCCAAGCCTCATGCTGGCAAGGGGCAATCTTCGTATTGAAGGCGTTGACGACGAAGCCTCAAGCTCAAAGGAATCGCGGGGACTAAGAACTCCAACAGCTAGACACAAACACAGTTGTGATAGCACCGAAACGAAGAATAGCAGTCATGGAGCGGAAGACGAGCTCTCCGGGGCCCTACAGAATAACGAGTACAGCTCAACCGTCAAGACTCAAAAGCCCTTTCAGCCCAAGCATTGGCAACTACAAGCCCAAACCCAAACATTGAAGCAGCTTTGCCCGAAAAAGAGAAGCAAACTCAGACGGTCTTCCTTTCACCTCAATATGCTAAGGAAGACAAGTCTCAATTCAGGGCTGCAAAGTTGAGATATTGAAATTGGGTGTAGCGTTGAAGCATGACAGGACGTGAACACTCAGCGTAACGGGGATCGAAGCCATTCCCTGATAGTCCCTAACATGATTATAAGACAGATTAATACGCCTCCAAATCCTGCTGCGGTCATTCAGTTCCGGCTTTAATGGATCTCTACTTTGGGGCCTTAATAATTAGAATAGTGCTTTGGGGCCTATGATATTCTAATTTTAATAAGGAACCCCCAGAATAGTTTTGGTAATTATTAAGGCCCCTATATTAGACTCCGATGCCCCAGTAGACCAGACGCGTGGGCAGCGACGCGCCACGGAGAGCATGGCCTCTGCCTTCGGATGATCGGTGCTCGTAGGGTCGTGAAGATCAGCAGCGTCAGTGAGTTGTAACGCGGTGTTATAATGTTGTAACTATTACAATATTGTAACTGATTAGTATGATATTGTAACTGTTATAATACTCTAACTATCATGATATTAGGAACTGCACCAGGCCATATGAAGTGCTTTAGACAATATGACATCACTCGGTGTCCCGCCAGACTTTGCATGATACGATGCCAGATTCCTGAACTTGCATGGGCTGTATTTCGTTCGAAACTGCCGGCACTCTTGACCCCGTCTACGGACGCGGCTACCGTTCTGGAAAGACTTCCCCTGTCGAGACAACTACAGCTGGCCAAAGGGAGCAATGTACTCAATCAGCACGAAAACTCGCCCTGCTCAGCTGTGCATCTGTACAATGGAAACTGATGGCTGGTTCGCACAAGGACTCTTAGCTCAGACCGTGATCTCGCTGGAATCGGGCACGACTCCAAGCTTCATGCTGGAGCTGGAGTCCGGATAGATGCAGACACCCAAAAGGCTGGACAGGTGCACGCACTTGGAGCCATCGGGGCAGCCGCCCACAATGCAGGCCAGGGCACAGTACTTGTCGCCGCTGCTCTCGTCCTGAAGGATGCACATGGGCTTGGCAGTAGTGCCCTCTGGGACGTCCGTTGGGCAGGAGCCGGTGTTGCACTTGGGGGCACACACGCTGCCACCGGCACCCTCCACCTCAGCCTGGGTCTCGTCCTTCTGGCACGGCGGCTTCTCATAGTGGCTGGTGCTGGGAGTCGGAGGAGATGGGGGAGACGGAGGAGAGGGAGGAGATGGAGATGGAGAGGGGCCCTTGCCGGACACAACGGGGTAGGATGCCTGGCTCTTGATGCCGCACTCACCAGGTCCCGGCTTGCCACGCTCCAGCTTCACATACCCGGATTCACCCCACGTAGATCCCCAGCTGTTCCTGACAACTTCTCAACCGTCGACAGCCGATCCAAAATTAACATGCGTCCTCTCTAGCTTGCGCCTATCACAAACCTCTCGACCCGTGGATCCAAACTCCTCTTGCAGCCAGAAGGCTTCACCAACCAGTAGTCCTTGCCGTCCTCGGTTCCGTAGCCCACGACCAACACGCCGTGGTCCAACTTGGTGCCGCAGGTCTTGCTGAGCACTCCACCCTTGTAGAGCTGGAAGGCCATCTGATCTGCCTTTTGTCCCAGGGACACTCGAAACATAAGAAGCAAAGAAGTACGACCGGTTAGCCTATAACCTTCAGAATGATCGAAGGCCACGGACACGGTCTTGCCTCAATGGCCACGGACACAGGCTGCTTCGAGACAGCGTCCATCAGAGACTGCTCGTCGTCGGCCTTGACGTCCTTGTAGCCGGTGACGCCGTGCGCGGGAATTCCCACCTTGCAGCCGGAGGCCTTGCAGATGCCATTCTTGGCCAAGTACGGGTAGCTGTCCTCACGAAACGAGCAAGAATCCCGCGCGGGCTCGCCAATATGGAACTTAGGATAGCAAAAACTGCGAACCTCTGCGAGCCCGTCCTCCGTGCACACAGGTGCCTGCTCCTCGTACTTGAAGCCGTTATCCATGAGGCCTCCGCTGCAGCCCTCATTGCCGAACTTCTTGGAGCAATCGACCAGCCTGAGACACTGCAAGCTCTGAGGTTTGCGCCGTCTTGGACTGGGGCCGCAGCTGAGGCTGAGTTGTGGACTGCTGCTCAGACAGCGAGACAAGCTTGCTCGTGGCGATAGCCCAGGCTCCTTCCAAGGCACCCGTCGTAGAAAATGCCCAGCATGAGCCTGGCGTGCTTCGGAAGCCCTTTCAAATCACATGGTTGTTCGTTCTGGATAAAACATACGGCACACATGCTATCAACTGTTTCAAGGAGCCGCATTGCTGCTGGTTCTTCACAGGCGTCACGGCCTTGCTGCGCCAGTCGACGGAGCTGGGCAGCGAGGAGTTGCTTGCCTTGTGCATGCCCAAGCTCGGCAGCTCTCCCCAAACGGACTCTGGAAGCTTCAGCCCGAGCTTGTTCATCTTGAACTCATCCAGCGACAAATCCGAGAACTCGTTCAAACCGAGCTGGTAGGAATGGCCCTTGGCATTCTCACGCGTGATGTACTCGAAGTTGTCGGCAAAGGCACCGAAGCGAGCCTGCTTCTCCACGTCGTCGTAGTCCTTGCTAAAATCCTTCAAGAACTTGTCGAATGCCTTCTCCACGTCGCTGCGGGGCTTGTGGGCACCGGCGAAGCCCAGCACGCCCAAGCACGCGATGCTCAGAGCTTTCACCATGACAAAACTTGCGGCGCGCGATTGGGCTGGAAGACTAAACGTGTCACTTGGACGGCCCTGCAACAATACGTGGCGCAACCATCAGCAGAGTGCAAGAGAACCCTTACACTGATACTCAACCTGCCAGAATAAACCCAAGTATGCAAGTACTGTATGTAGGTTAGTCCTGCGAAGTTTACATGAAGTCGATGCTCCAAGGGAAGTGACGAGCCTCTTCACCCGAAGCCATTGTGGTACCAGATGCATCCTCGATGTTGGCACCCGCCTCCTGCTCACTGGTTGATATGCCTTTGCTACATGAAATGGTGGCATTCCATAGCTTCAAAGCCACACAATGTGGAGTGCGATCTGACCGCCCTGATTAATGAGTGAGGCGTTATGTATGATCCAGCCCCCATGCTCCCAGATGCAAGCTATCGTCTGGGCGTTACCAATACATTTTAGTTGGTCAAAGTACGTCCGCGCGTGCGTGTGTGTGTGTGTATATATATATATGTATACATACATATGCGCATATAAGATGTGTGTTGATTATCCCTTTATTTGTGTTTATCTCTGCATATATATATATATATACACCCACTACATATAGCATCACCTCGAAAAGCAAGGAACGCCGGCCTTCATCACCTGCGCGATGCCGTTCCAGATCTGAGGGGGCAAGGAACATTTAAGGGCTCTGAGAGTCAACATCGGTTCAGGGATGGCTCTTAGGAGCCCCTGTATAGTATCAGGAACAACTCTTTCGATAAAACTCTCAAAAGCACTTTGGTTACTTCGGGCAACATGTTCGTGGAACGGATGCTGGTGTGTGCAAGGTCGTGGGGTGTGGTTGCTGACCGCCCATAGAACTAGGCGGTGTTGAGGTCTCTTGGAAATCCCACAGCTTTGCAAAGTCCGAGCGAAATAAATTACAGAGCTCAACATCACCATGCGATTGTTCTAACCGTAGTTCTCTTTACTCAGGTGGGAAAACTGCAGTTTGGAAACCGTTGCCGGATACAACTGTACACAGTCTCAGTTGAGGCAAGGCACTGCGTTATCAGACGACACCCGCGTGTGGCCGGAAAGAGTAACGAGGGCCTGGCACGGGGCCCGCAAGGTCTAAAGGGCCGAGGACCTCGGGCTTGGAACCCCATGGTAAGGGGCTCAGCATAAGCCCCTTTGGTCATACTCCCGAAGGGTTGGTCAGTCCGAAAAGCTCGCGGATCCTGAGACCGAAGCAAGCTGGCTGTTCAGCGTCAGCATTCAGCTGGTAAGAAGCACGCTTCTCTTATCATGAAAAGTGCAACTCGGAACCTTCTCCAACGGTTCGTACCCCGTCAATGGCTACGAAATGAAAAGTGCCAATTGTTGAGCTGTCAAGCATGAGGTTTCAGAGCTGCAGCGATGCAGTGTTTAAGAACTCCTAGAATTCGGACCACAGTGCCCCTTGGCTTTGGCTTGGTTGGGTGCACGAGCCATAGCGACAAGAACACCAAAACATAACAGTGAGAAGACTACCAAGTTGACGAGAACAAGACTGTGGTGGTGGTTGTTGTTCATGGTGCTGTTCTTAGAACAGCACCATGAACAACAACAACCACCACAATCACAACCACAACCACAAGAGGAACAGCAACAGCAACAGCGGCAGAAGCAGCAACAACAACAACAGGAACAACTTCAATGATAACCACAACCACCACAACAACAAGAAAACCCGTCAACACCAACAGTAGTCCAACACCAGCACAAACATCACCAACAGCACCGCCACCACGACCAAAAGCAACAGCGGCAACGGCAATGGTAATGGCAACGGCATGGGCACCGGCACCGGCACCACAACAACACCAACAATCACAAGTAGCACCACCAATAGCATCGGCATTAGCATCACAGCAACAGCAGCAGCAACAGCAACAGCAACAGCAGCGGCGCAGCAACGCCACCACCGCCACCACCACGCCACCAAGAACCACAACGACAACGAGAAAGAGAACCAGAACCACAACCACCACTACGACGACGACAACGACCATTTCAACGACAAAACCCAACACCAGCGGAACACGAAAAAGAAAAAACGCTTGCAGCGGCACCATCAGTGCATGGTCATCAACAGCAGCAGAAACAACACCAGCGGCAACAACAACTTTGGGTACAAAACCAGAATAGCTGTCAACACAAATGCTAGTAAACTTGCCACGCAGCACCCAACAGCACCAGCTGCAAGAGTAGCAGGGACTCTCAAGCTTGCATCCAGCGCTACCGACAAAGCGAGGAAACGCACAAAAAAGCCACCACAACACGAGCGACGACGAGACTTGGTCTCTTGCTGAGGGTTCGAAAGGTCTGTGACTTCGAACTTGCGGCTCCATAGCACAACACTCAGGGTCAAGGGCTGATTTTCGAGACGCTGCCAGAGTCGATAGGAGGACGTGCCTGGCGTAGTGGGTTCTTCTCGGCTTTGGCTGGCTTCCCGGCTTTCGCCGATGGCCTCGCGAGCAGTGTGTGCTTTCCTTCACGTTACGGATCAAGCCACCTCGCGTTCCCTCACTGCAACTGTATAATACGCATTTGCAGTCAAATAGAGAGCCTTGCCGAAACCCCACTGCTGGCACGCACACACAGACAAAGAAAGAGCCTGTTCAAGCTAGCACCTGGGACCGTTTGCTCGACAGGTGCCTACATAACCTCGGCAAATGTGCGTCCATCGCACCAGACCCTAGCCCTCCACACCCAGAGGTGGACTTGAAAGAACTCGGACAAGAAAAGAAAAGGTCACGAAATCGTACCTCAGTCGGAGTCCCCGGCGCTGCAGGGGGGCTCCTGGAAGCTTGCAGCTCGACTCTGTTTTGGGCCCATGATTGGGTGTAAGGTTATGTCATGTAAAGGTCCACGCAGCCTAGCACTTGCGCTAGTCGAAGCGGAGGAACACCCATCGCCGTCGTCGTAGTAACATTGGACGCAGCAGTCGCATTTTCAGTCCCAGAAAAGGTACGTAGCGATACTAGGCACGGTTGCACAGCTGTAACCGTAGCCGCAGCAGCCGGAGTCGTAGAAGTAGCAGTCGCAGCAGTTGCGGTAGCAGCAGCAGCAGCAGCAGCAGCAGCAGCCGTAGAAATAGCAATAGCAACAACAGTAGAAATAGGAGTAGAAGCAGGAGCAGGAGCAGGAGCAGCAGTAGTAGTAGTAGTAGTAGTAGCAGCAGCAGGAGTAGTAGTAGTAGTAGTAGTAGTAGTAGTAGTAGTAGTAGTAGTAGTAGTAGTAGTAGTAGTAGTAGTAGTAGTAGAAGTAGTAGTAGTAGTAGTAGTAGTAGTAGTTGTAGTAGTAGTAGTAGTAGTAGTAGTACTCGTCGTCGTAGTCGTCGTAGTCCTAATAGGATGGTAGCAGTAGAAACTGAAAGAAGTGCACGAAATCTTGCCCCACCTGTGAATGTTGAATTCATTGCCGCTGCAGTGAAAACACGACTACACACGATACGACAAGAGCTACAAATATCGCAGCCTCACCAGCAGTGCAATAACATGCAAGAGAAACGGTACAGTATAGCGGATGATGCGACGCGCTCATCCGTGAAGAGTAGTGAGAATATTCGAGAAGAACAACACTGGCAACAAGCAACCAAGGACCATGACATGAGAATAGCGATGCTGCTGTACACCAGTCCAAAAACCAATGAAAGTGCTTGACAACATTGCCCGGAGAACGGCTCTGTTGCACTCACCAAGGCATGGACCACACATCGTACCACTTACAGTGACCGACCCTTATAGTACCCCCCCCCCATATTGGGTCTCGTCTCGCAGGGCTGTCACCTTGTCCTAGCAGCAGAGTGCGCCGGTTCAAAAGCGGCGCAAAACCCCGCATGGCTCCAGCAAAGGGCAACAAAGACGAAGTATGCAGCTTCTATTTACTCCCTGGAACCGTGGTGCAGAGTCCGGCTTCTGTTTAATTAATTTTCCTGTGCTGCGTAGGAGGCAAAGAGGGATTTGCCTTCTTGAGTCTCCGGTTTAGACTGGCGTCGGCTTTAGGCTTTTGGGTGGCAACAGTGTCCCCGAACCTGAAATAGCCTAGATTCGCCAACTATGAAGCCCTCATTTGTTGACCAAGGCTTGGCGCCCGTCGTACATAGCCGAATAAATCGAGCACTCGCATTTCTTACACAAAGTTTGCTAACATGCCTAATCGGTTATTGCTGCAATCATCTTTCGGGAATGCACCCAATTCGTGACACTCATTGACACTCCAGAGCCAAAACCAGCGATCAGGAGTACCATGTCAAACGACATTCTTTCGCGGCTACGGGTTTCGTGGCGAACATGGAGTTGAATGCCGTCGAAATTTGTGTAACATCCAGAAAAGATCCACGATGCCCTGCTGAGAACCAGCTGAATATCTCTCAGAACCAACCCATCGGCATTGCCAACGTGACCCCCTGTTTGCCATACCCTACACGAAGTCCTGAAACACCGAATCTCCGATGGATCCAAGAGCTCTGAGCCCCGGCTCCGACAAGTAACTCCCCAGGATTGTCGGGTTTTGGCCGGCTTTCCCGTTGTCAGCTGTCGGTTAGAAGCTGCCCCCACCCTGTAATAGTAACTATAAGGATTATATCAGGGCCCTATTATATTCCTATTATACCACTATTACAGGGTGGGGGCCCCTTCTAAGCTGTCGGCTTCGGCTTCAGCGCTTTAAAAGGTGCACGGCGTTTATCCCAGGGATAAAGTTCGAAAAAGACCCCTGCAGCTCTAGAACTTCTCGGAGCACCGACGCGAACCTTGGACAAAAGCAAGCGAACCCTGCACTCCGAAAGTCTTCAATGTGTCCGTCCCATCCAAGGTCACTGCCCACCCGGATCTACCAACTCCTGGAAGAGGTGCTCCACCTCTGCCACCAACATTTGGAATGTATTTTGGTCAGGTCAATGAGACGGATAGTGAGACGTTGTCGTCGCTGGTCTTGCTTCTGTTTTGGGTTGCGGGGGCGGGGCTGCTGCGGTTGCTCCTACT